CGGGCTCTCCACCAGGCACGGGCTCTCCACCAGGCACGGTCTCTCCACCAGGCACGGTCTCTCCACCAGGCGCGGTCTCTCCTCCAGGCACGGGCTCTCCACCAGGCACGGTCTCTCCTCCAGGCACGGGCTCTCCTCCAGGCACGGTCTCTCCTCCAGGCACGGGCTCTCCACCAGGCACGGTCTCTCCACCAGGCACGGGCTCTCCACCAGGCACGGGCTCTCCACCAGGCACGGTCTCTCCACCAGGCACGGTCTCTCCACCAGGCGCGGTCTCTCCTCCAGGCACGGGCTCTCCTCCAGGCACGGTCTCTCCTCCAGGCACGGTCTCTCCTCCAGGCACGGGCTCTCCACCAGGCACGGTCTCTCCACCAGGCACGGTCTCTCCTCCAGGCACGGGCTCTCCTCCAGGCACGGTCTCTCCTCCAGGCACGGGCTCTCCACCAGGCACGGTCTCTCCACCAGGCACGGGCTCTCCACCAGGCACGGTCTCTCCTCCAGGCACGGTCTCTCCTCCAGGCACGGGCTCTCCACCAGGCACGGTCTCTCCACCAGGCACGGTCTCTCCTCCAGGCACGGGCTCTCCTCCAGGCACGGTCTCTCCTCCAGGCACGGTCTCTCCTCCAGGCACGGTCTCTCCACCAGGCACGGTCTCTCCTCCAGGCACGGTCTCTCCACCAGGCGCGGTCTCTCCTCCAGGCACGGTCTCTCCACCAGGCACGGTCTCTCCACCAGGCACGGTCTCTCCACCAGGCACGGTCTCTCCTCCAGGCACGGGCTCTCCTCCAGGCACGGTCTCTCCTCCAGGCACGGGCTCTCCTCCAGGCACGGTCTCTCCTCCAGGCACGGGCTCTCCTCCAGGCACGGTCTCTCCACCAGGCACGGTCTCTCCACCAGGCACGGTCTCTCCACCAGGCACGGTCTCTCCTCCAGGCACGGGCTCTCCTCCAGGCACGGTCTCTCCTCCAGGCACGGGCTCTCCACCAGGCACGGTCTCTCCACCAGGCACGGTCTCTCCTCCAGGCACGGGCTCTCCACCAGGCACGGTCTCTCCACCAGGCACGGTCTCTCCACCAGGCGCGGTCTCTCCTCCAGGCGCGGTCTCTCCTCCAGGCACGGTCTCTCCTCCAGGCGCGGTCTCTCCACCAGGCACGGTCTCTCCACCAGGCACGGTCTCTCCTCCAGGCGCGGTCTCTCCACCAGGCACGGTCTCTCCACCAGGCACGGTCTCTCCACCAGGCACGGTCTCTCCACCAGGCACGGTCTCTCCACCAGGCGCGGTCTCTCCACCAGGCACGGTCTCTCCACCAGGCACGGTCTCTCCACCAGGCACGGTCTCTCCACCAGGCACGGTCTCTCCACCAGGCACGGTCTCTCCTCCAGGCGCGGTCTCTCCACCAGGCACGGTCTCTCCACCAGGCACGGTCTCTCCACCAGGCACGGTCTCTCCACCAGGCGCGGTCTCTCCACCAGGCGCGGTCTCTCCACCAGGCACGGTCTCTCCACCAGGCACGGTCTCTCCTCCAGGCGCGGTCTCTCCACCAGGCACGGTCTCTCCACCAGGCACGGTCTCTCCACCAGGCACGGTCTCTCCACCAGGCGCGGTCTCTCCACCAGGCACGGTCTCTCCTCCAGGCGCGGTCTCTCCACCAGGCGCGGTCTCTCCTCCAGGCACGGTCTCTCCTCCAGGCGCGGTCTCTCCACCAGGCACGGTCTCTCCACCAGGCGAGGTCTCTCCTCCAGGCACGGGCTCTCCTCCAGGCACGGTCTCTCCTCCAGGCACGGTCTCTCCACCAGGCGCGGTCTCTCCACCAGGCGAGGTCTCTCCACCAGGCGCGGTCTCTCCACCAGGCACGGTCTCTCCTCCAGACGCGGTCTCTCCTCCAGGCACGGTCTCTCCTCCAGGCGCGGTCTCTCCTCCAGACACGGTCTCTCCTCCAGACGCGGTCTCTCCTCCAGGCACGGTCTCTCCTCCAGGCACGGTCTCTCCTCCAGGCACGGTCTCTCCACCAGGCACGGTCTCTCCACCAGGCACGGTCTCTCCTCCAGGCGCGGTCTCTCCACCAGGCACGGTCTCTCCTCCAGGCACGGTCTCTCCTCCAGGCACGGTCTCTCCACCAGGCGCGGGCTCTCCACCAGGCACGGTCTCTCCACCAGGCACGGTCTCTCCTCCAGGCACGGTCTCTCCTCCAGGCACGGTCTCTCCACCAGGCACGGTCTCTCCACCAGGCACGGTCTCTCCTCCAGACACGGTCTCTCCACCAGGCGCGGTCTCTCCACCAGGCACGGTCTCTCCACCAGGCGCGGTCTCTCCACCAGGCACGGTCTCTCCTCCAGGCACGGTCTCTCCTCCAGGCACGGTCTCTCCACCAGGCGCGGGCTCTCCACCAGGCACGGTCTCTCCACCAGGTGCGGGCTCTCCACCAGGCACGGTCTCTCCTCCAGGCACGGGCTCTCCTCCAGGCACGGGCTCTCCACCAGGCACGGGCTCTCCTCCAGGCACGGTCTCTCCACCAGGCACGGGCTCTCCTCCAGGCGTAGTCTCTCCACCAGGCACGCGCTCTCCTCCAGGCACGGTCTCTCCACCAGGCACGGGCTCTCCTCCAGGCACGGGCTCTCCACCAGGCACGGGCTCTCCTCCAGGCGTAGTCTCTCCACCAGGCGCGGGCTCTCCACCAGGCACGGGCTCTCCACCAGGCACGGGCTCTCCTCCAGGCGTAGTCTCTCCACCAGGCGCGGTCTCTCCTCCAGGCACGGGCTCTCCACCAGGCACGGTCTCTCCTCCAGGTGCGGTCTCTCCACCAGGCACGGGCTCTCCACCAGGCACGGGCTCTCCACCAGGCGTAGTCTCTCCACCAGGCACGGTCTCTCCTCCAGGCACGGGCTCTCCTCCAGGCGTAGTCTCTCCACCAGGCACGGTCTCTCCACCAGGCACGGGCTCTCCTCCAGGCACGGGCTCTCCACCAGGCACGGTCTCTCCTCCAGGCACGGTCTCTCCTCCAGGTGCGGTCTCTCCACCAGGCACGGGCTCTCCACCAGGCGTAGTCTCTCCTCCAGGCGCGGTCTCTCCACCAGGCACGGGCTCTCCACCAGGCACGGGCTCTCCACCAGGCACGGGCTCTCCACCAGGCGTAGTCTCTCCTCCAGGTGCGGTCTCTCCACCAGGCACGGGCTCTCCACCAGGCGCGGAGTTTCCAAACCCCCAAATCTGCCGCCCCTCTGGCTCCACTGAGTGGCCGAGGTCAGCACCTTGACCTCGGGTCGCTGAAACCCGGAGTAGAACCGTCTTCACCGATTTAGAGTCGACGCTGCCAGTGTAGGGATGTGTGTCTCTGTGTGTATCTGTGTGTCTGTGTGTGTCTGTGTGTGTCTCTGTGTGTGTGGGGAGCGGTGGTGTAGCGGTTAGCGCGCTGAGCTATGAACCTGGCGACCCGGGTTCGATTCCCGCTCACGGCTAACACCAGTGACGATTATCTGAACCGGTCCTGGGCCTCCCCTAGGTCGACTCAGCCTTAAATGAGTACCTGGTGCAGTGTGAAAACATCGCCACTGGGGAGACAAAGGCGGTCGGGCGTGGTGCTGGCCACCCACCCCCTCGTGTACCGTTGCGGCCTTCATAGGTGCTCGCTAACAGCACTTGCCCCTACAGTCTCTTAAGGCTATACGGGGGATCTTTTGTCTCTGTGTGTGTGCTGTGGGGATCGTTGTTTACGAGGTGGCCGGTGATGAGGGCCGGTGAGGGGGTGTGAGGGAGTGTGAGAGGGAGTGTGAGAGGGAGTGTGAGAGGGAGTGTGAGAGGAAGGGTGAGAGGGAGGGTGAGAGGGAGTGTGTGTGGGGAGAGAGGGAGTGCGTGGATGTTGTACAGGGAGCGGTGGCGCAGTGGTTGACGCACTCCGCTACGAAACCTGCCTTCCCCAGTTCGATTCCCGCTCACGGTTAACATCAGCGTAAATTATCTGAACTGGTCTTGGGCATCCCCTAGGTAGACTGTGCCTTAAATGAGTAGGCAACGTATCATATGTCCGCTCCGTATCATATGTACGATACGTATCGTTGTACCGTGTAGGCCTCGTTTCAGAATCAGAATTTCGTATTCACACTCCCAAGTATACAGCGGCAGGCGTCAGGGTCGGTATCGAACCCACGCCCTCCTGTAGACCAGGCGAGGTAGTTGACATCTCAGAGCCACGCGGCACCCACACGCCACCCAGCCACCGCACGTGACGGGGAGTGGGGCAAGGTGTAATGGACACTTACCCACATCGTCTCGACTGAATGTCACGCGGGGAGATGGAATCAAACCGGCGACCTCTTCTGGGTCGCAGGTTCTAGTGTGCAAATTCACACATCTCGAATTATTACAACTGCGGTATAATATCATGACTACTATCACCATCGTGATGCATTATGGCAGAGGATACAGAACGCGTGATGACACTCCCACCCCCACCATCGTCGTCCTGCTCTCAAGCCCCAATGGCTTCAAATGTGTGGCGGCCATCACACTGACGATATCTTATTGGGGAAAGTGGGCCCCGCCCTCTAAAGGAGTGAAGAACACTGGTCTACAAACTCACCTGGGGACCATAGACTCACCTGGTCGACAGTGAAGAACACACTGGTCTAGACTCACCTGGTGCCCACTCACCTGGTCTACAGTGAAGAACACTGGTCTACAGGCTCACCTGGTCTACAGTGAAAAACACTGGTCTACACTCACCTGGTGCCCACTCACCTGGTCTACAGTGAAAAACACTGGTCTAGACTCACCTGGTGCTCAGACTCACCTGGTCTACAGTGAAGAACACTGTACTACAGGCTCACCTGGGGCCCATAGACTCACCTGGTCTACGGTGCAGGCGAGTGAAGACCACCGAGTAACTGAGACGAGGTTGGGCGTGCTGGGAGGATTTACACTTTGGAATGTGTTCCACAACTAAGTGGGGTGTGCGGTGGGGTTAGTACCCCACGTAACAATAACAAGGCAGTACAGCAACTAGTTCCACTCTCTTAAATTTTATGCTCATATTCTCTAAAAGACAAAGACACACACATACACCTTAAATTAAAACATGTTCTTAAGTGCTCGTATAAAACTGCAAGTCAAACACGGCTTACTTCTCAGGCGCATAAGCAATGTTACAGGTCAATCGGCTGCTAGATGGAGGGCGTGACTACTTGTGATTTGACCATACTTCACCACGCAGGTTGCTGGGGAGCATCCGCCGTAAGGAAGCAAGCAGGAGTACAGAACAATTGATTCTACTGCCATGCCCTCCACTAACAACCATCAGTCCCCGGAACAGCCCATCACACCCGTTGTGTGTGTGGTGGTTGCCTCTCCGGCCCTAGCAATGTCCAGGCTTAGAAGCCTGCTTAGCTTGGGAGGTGCGAAGCGTGGTTTGTGGTCGCAGACTTGACGCATCTATCGAGGGCTCGGTCTCGCAGACAGTTTCATCTCCTCTGTGCTGTTGTTAGACCACCACACTGCAGGTGGCAAGCACACTCACCCACTCGCTCACCCAGCCACTCACCCACCCACCACAATGCAGGTGACAACACTCACCCACTCGCTCACTCACCCACCCAGCCACTCACCCACTCACTCGCCACACTGCAGGTCACCTCGCTGCTCTTTCTGCTTCTTCCTCGCACTACCCCACTCTGGAATCCCCTCCCATCATCATCGTCGTCGTCTTTAGAGTCTCCAACAAACTCTTAACAACAAGCTCAGACGAGAGAGTGCGACACGCTCTTGTCGGGCACATCTGTGATAGGTGCTGTTTGTTGCTGGCCGGTTGGCGTTCTGGGCCTTTTGGACCTAAACACACGATGTATATAACGCTCAGCCTCCACTAGGAGGGCACCACATTTTATAGCCACGATGCTACTACAGCTGCTGCGGCTGCTACGTTGGCAGCGGTACAAAATCACAAATTAGAAATAAAATCTAAAACAATCAATCAACAACACCATGTGGCCTTACACACACACATATCAGTTGACGTTTCGGGCAATGGTCCTTCTTAATAGCACGATAAGCATGGTCAAGCCACGCTTATGACTCCCAACACGGTGGTGATGAGTGGGTTTCATCCAGCAATGGAATGACAAAAGCGTTGATCATTCTTAGCAACAGTTATATATATGTGGTCTACAAACGGGTCCACACGTACATACCAGTACCGTGTGTGTAGGGTTACCGATACAAACGAGAGTTAATAACTCGCCGACTCCGAGTGCTCCTGCCAGCGGGGGACTGTGCGTGATTGGTGATTAAAAAGGGCAAGGCGAGCGATAATGCACGCACGTGTTGTGATGAACACGTGTTGTGATGAACACGGAGGTAACACGTGTCGAAAAAGCTGTGCCTCCTCCCAGTTCACTTGGAGTGTGCAGGCACACACCAAGACAAAGATCCCCCGTGTAGCCTGTAACAGACTGTTCGGGGCAAGTGCTTGTTCTAAAACGAGTAGCAGCACCTATGAAGGCCGGCACGGCGCACGAGGGGGCGGGTGGCCAGCACCACGCCCGGGCGCCTTTGTCTCCCAAGTGGCGATGTTTACACACCGCACCAGCTACTTATTTGAGGCCGAGTCGACCTAAGAGAGGCCCAGGACCGGTTCAGATATTCGTCACTGGCGTTTGCCGTGAGTGGAAATCGAACTCGGGTCGCCGGGTCCGTAGCGCGGCGCGCTAACCTCTGCGCCACCGCTCACACACAAAACACACAGACACAAATCCCCCTGTTGAGGCAATGCCGTTAGCAAGCACCTATTAAGGGCCGTAACATCTCATCGCCCAGTAAATGTAACTTTCTTTTGATCTCACAGTGCTGGGTTTTTTTTTTCACAGCTGCACCACGTGTTTGTTTAAGGCCGAGTCGATCTAAGGAAGTCCCGGAACCCGTTCAGATATTAGTCCGTGGGCCCAGGTGAGCATATGTTTTGCGCAGTCGGTAACCGCCTGAGCTGGCGTGACTTTAGCCGTTTCCAATGTCTCAAAGTGGTCAACGACAGTGAACCACGCGACACCCACTGGATAATGAGTCGGGCTTTCGACGAATTCACTCTCATTGGCCATGTGAAGAAGTCTGTGGGACTAACGACTTGCCCCCTCAGGCGGGTACCAGTTTCCATGAACGATATCAACTCGCCAGTGATACGTCGTGAGCCGCGGCCGGGAATCGAACCCAGGTTGGTCGGGTCCGGAGCGCAGTGCGCCAACCTCCGCAGCTCCACTCCCCGCAAGCTCCCACGCTCACCGCTCCCTCGCATCCTCAAAAACACCGGGCTCGTTCAGGAGTGGTGTACGGAAACTCATCGCTTAACGCTGCAGATGTGTTCCTGAAAAGGAACATTTATGGGAAAATAGCGAAAACTATTCCCCCATAAATAATGTAATAACGAGATGCGATGTACTACCACTCAGCACACCACGCAGCGAGATGGCACAAACAACTGCGGGTACGCCAACACGTTACTCAACGACTCGGCGTACTGTATCGCTGCACCGCTCAGCCGCGCGGCTCAAGAAAGTGGCTAGTAGTCCACTGCTCGGAACCCGCGTTATAACGGTGCGTGCGTGCGTTCTGCCAAGTATTCCCTAACGTAGCGAAGACGCGTTGCAAAGTGCGAACATGGCCGCGCACTGAGCGGGGGCTCGCCCTAACACTGCACCTCCCGGTCCTTCTTAGCAACACCCCGTTCGGTTCCGTGGAAGCCCAAACTCGGGCCGCTTTGCAGCTTATTTGTAAAAAGAAGGAAATGCGACGAGCAATGGCGGAACCGCGGCCGAAGGCGGGAATCGTAGTCCCGGCGCGCCGAGTGCGGAATCCTGCACCACAGTCGACGATGCACAATACGGTGATGCGCGGGTGACGTACGAGCACAGGGCTGGACCGGGAAACGCAGCTGGAATGGACTCACGAATCCGCTTGCTGCCAATGTCGTCCCCATGGCCAACTCGCAGCGACTGCGCAGGCCAAAACCGGGACGGGTGGCAAGCCCCGTCACAACAACAACATCACTTCACACACGCACGCGGAATCAAAGCTCTCCTCTCCCTCTTTCCGGCACTGCCGTCGGGAAGGCCGACTTAGAACAGAAAGACATTTACAGCAGTAAGGCCAAAAATTCAGGAGGCATCGAATGGTATTCGCGTCAAAGGGCTTGAAATGGAAGTCCTCTGCCCAACGGCAGGTTCTTGGCTGCAACTTCCTTTCGATCCCATCCGTACAGCTCCAAGCCCCCCCCCCCTTCCTTCCTTCCTTAAAGTTGTGCAAGCAGCTGATCCCTCTTCGTCCATCCCTTGGCCTCATTTTGCCAACATCCTGACCGTCGAGATCCTCTCGTGATCTAAGCCGTCAACCTCTCCATTGTCCTTCCCCCGCACCTCCGATCAGCACGGTTGGCTACGTACGGTGGCAAAAGAAGTTCTACGTACACACGTACGTCGAAGGCCAATTTCTACCGATAATTATCGCTGTTGTTAAGGCAGGTTTGTGTCGCGTGTGTGCGAGCGGCTGGACAGACGCTTCCAAACAGGAGCAGCAATAGCCGAGTGGTATCGGAGAGTTGACGGATGGAGCAGCACCGATGGAAGTATGGGGGAGCGGGCGTGGGTTCAGTGTGAGAATGCGGTACAAGGGGCGTGGAAGACCGTCAAGAGTGTGAGCGAGTGTGCGAGTGACCTGCGAAGTGAGAGTGTGCGTGTGAGCGAGTGTAGGAGTGGGGGCGTGCAAGGGTATGTGTGTGTGTGTTGGTGTGTGTGTGTTGGTGTGTGTTGGTGTGTGTGTGTTGGTGTGTGTGTGTTGGTGTGTGTGTGTTGGTGTGTGTGTGTTGGTGTGTGTTTGGAATGTGTGTGTTGGTGTGTGTGTGTTGGTGTGTGGGTGTGCGTGCGAGCATCTGCATTGTGAAGGAGTGTGCGCTTCGCAAGGGCAAGCGAGCCAGGGCGAGCTGGCGGGTGTGCAAGAGGCCGTGCGTGTGCGTTCGAGTAAGAGCGTGTGCAAGGGTGTGAAAATCGAGGCGTGAGAGTTGTGAGCGTCTGTCAGCAAGTGAGCGTGCGAGCTTGCGTGCAACCGAGCGAGTGCATGGGTGCGGGGAGTCTGTGCGAGTGAGCGAGCGCGGGAGTCTGTGCGAGCGAGTGAGCGAGCGCAGGAGTGTGCGTGTGCGAGCGAGTCTGCGCGAGCGTCTGTGCGAGCCTGTGAGTGTCTGTGCGCGTGAGCGAGTACGTGCGTGTGCATGCGTCCGAGCGGGCGAGACTGCGAGCGACTCAGTGGACGAGACTCCTCCGTCGCCATACGTCGTCTTCAACTCCTTCACATCCTTCTTCACCTCCTTCACCTCCTTCACCTCCTTCACCTCCTTCACCTCCTTCACCTCCTTCGACTCGTTCAACTTCTTCAACTCCTGCTCCCCCTTGGCCCGTGAGCTCTTCCAGCTCGCCGGCGTGCTCGAGGGCGGCGCGCGTGAACTCGGCAAACACGCGGTCCATGTAGCTGCGCCCGCGTGGCACCAGCCCCTCCAGGAAGCCGATGTGGCCGCCGCTTGACGTCACCAGCAGCGCCACGCGCGGGTTCGACCGCGCCGCCTCCACCGGGATCGCTGCGCGCCCGCGGGTCGGGAGGGCACAAGCGGCCAGGAGCCACCGTCGTTAAGAGTCAAGCTCTCCACGTTAAGAGTCAAGCTCTCCACGGTTCACTTTGTTTAAGGGCGCTGCGGTGGTATATATGTTCACTGCCTCTTACTCTTAGGTTCTTTCGGTAAAGTCACGTAGGTAAAAAATAAAATTAATAATAGTAAAATAAAAATCACGACGTTTCGGAGGCAACACAAGCTTCCGTCTGTTGCCTCCGAAACGTCGTGATTTTTATTTGACTTTTATTAATTTTATTTTTATTTTTTACCTACGTGACTTTACCGAAAAAAACCTAAGAGTATGAATCCTTGCAGTCACGAAAGCTTCAAATCTAGAATCACTGCCTCTTGCCTGCTATACAGGGGGTCGCGGGTTCGATCCCGAGTCTGCGTGTCTCTCTCCCCGTGGTCGTGCGGATTTTTCTCCGGTTTTTCTCTCCACATTTAGAAACATGCGATTAAGAGTATTTGGCTGCTATAAATGTCCACGTGATAAGCCACTTCGTTAAGCTATTGTTTGTGGCCAGGTCGCTTCTGAAAAGGAGCGAAATAGCTCAGTGGGCCTTACCTAGTAAAATAAAAACAAGTTTAGTTTAGTTTTAGTAACCAGGTGAGAGCTTGGGAGGCTAGGTTAGGAGTCATTTTGCAAGAGTGATCTGGCTGGATGAGTGGGTGGGCGAGTGAATGAATGAGTGAGTGAATGAGTGAGTGAATGAGTGAATGAATGAGCGAGTGAATGAGTGAGTGAATGAGCGAATGAATGAGTGAGTGAATGAGTGAGTGAATGAGTGAGTGAATGAGTGAATGAATGAGTGAGTGAATGAGTGAGTGAATGAGTGAGTGAATGAGTGAGTGAATGAGTGAATGAATGAGTGAGTGAATGAGTGAGTGAATGAGTGAGTGAATGAGTGAGTGAATGAGTGAATGAATGAGCGAGTGAATGAGTGAGTGAGTGAGTGAATGAGTGAATGAATGAGTGAGTGAATGAGTGAGTGAATGAGTGAATGAATGAGCGAGTGAATGAGTGGGTGAGCGAGTCGGTGAGTTTGTTTAACAACGGCAACACCAGTGATGATTATCCGAACCACTCACGGTCAAAACGTGCCAGGGCCCTAGGTCGGCCTCAAATACTACCTGGTGCAGTGTGTAAACAAAAGGTCGTGGCGGTGGCCACCCGCCCCCTCGTGTGCCGTGCCGGCCGTCATAAGTGCTACTCGCTAACAGCACTTGCCCCAGCAGTCTGTTGAGGCCATACTGGGGCATCTTCGTCTACGTAGGTGCGTGCGTGTGTGCGCACGTGCGTGTGTACGTGCGCGTGTGTGTGCGTGTTTGCGTGCGCGAGCGGTCACCGTGCATGGGTGAGAAGGGGTCGTCGGCGGCGTTGAGGCACAGCACGGGGATGCGGATGGCCGCCACGGTGTGCGCCGGGCTCGCCGCGCGGTAGTAGTCGTCTATGGTCGCGAAGCCGAACATGGGAGCGGTGAAGCGCTGGTCGAACTCGCGGATCGTGCGCGCCTGGGGGGGGGGGGGGCGGGCCCAGGGTCAGGACAGAGCCAGGTGATTGGATAAATAATAAAATAAAAGCCGACAACGATTCCCTCCCGCTGCCTTGCAGGAGGCGTGCGGTAGAATGCACTCGCGAGTGCGGTGCGTCGTACCGAGATTGCATTCAGATTTTCTGCATCTGGAATATCGTGGTGATTATTGTGGGGGCTGCGACACATTCCCACGTGACAAGCCACTCTGTTGAGCTGTCATGTGTGGCCAGGTCGTTTCTACAAAATAAGTTAATACCGCAGTGCACTTTAGCTGATACGATAAAAAAAACAATTGTAGTTTTATTATTAGATGTTTGTAAGAGATTTGTTTACCTTTCTTGTACTTTGAACTCCTATTGTGAGTTTGTATTGTTTGTTGTTGTAACTTTCTGACCCGCCGCCTACTGGACGTGTGTGAAAAAGAGCTTAATAGCTCATCGGATTCCTCCAGTATAAATAAATATTGATTCTGACAGTACATGATACTTCCTGATGTTCTTATAATACATTATTTGTATTCGTGAAATTACGTTCACCATCTGTGTTATTATTGTTTGCACTATTACCAATACCCCCAATGAAGCCCTCGTACATTGCTCATACGAAATAAATAACACTGTCGGGAACGCGTCCCCCACATGTACAATGGTACAAGGACCCCTTCTGCAGGAACGCATCGACGGCCGCGTTAAACGAGGACTCGCAGCCTCAGCAGAGGGAAGTGTGAGTGACGGTATTCATTACAGCAACGGTTACAGCATTCGGGTTTGAAACTCTCACCTTCATAATGTGCTCGATGTCAAACTTGGAGGCCAGCACATCGCGGTGCCTGGACACAGGGGGAGATGCGGACTCAACGCAGGCACCACACGCGCGCTCCTGCTGTGCTCAGGCAAACACACGGGGGGCTGTGTGCGTGCGCGCGAGCTGGAAAGCGGTGGTACCGTGGTCGATGCACCGCGCTACGAGCCGGGAAACCCGGGTTCCGTTCCCGCTCGCGACCAATATCAGTGTGGAACATCTGAACCGGTCCTGGGCCTCCACGAGGTAGACTCGGCCTTAAATGAATAGCTGGTGCGTGTAAACATCAGCACCAGGGAGACAAAGGTGGCTGGGCGTAGCCCAAGCCTCCCACACCTCCCTCTCGTGTGACCTGTCGGCATGCAGCGGTGCATGCCGACAGCACTTGCCCCAAAAGTCTGTTAAATGCTATAGGAGGTGGGGGGGGGGGGGGGGGTAACTCTGTCTTTGTTTGTGCTGTGCGTAGACGTGCGGGTTTGGAATTACGGAGAAAGAGAGGGGGAGGAGAGGTCACATGCACTTTTAAATCATCTGGTTTGAAAAGTTATATATATTTTTTAAACTGCGTCTTGTGTTTAGTTTGTTGTCCTTCCCCCTCACCTCCGATCAGCACGGTTGGCAATGTACGGTGCAAAAGAAGTTCAACATGCACACACACACACGCACACACAGACACACACACACAAACACACACGCACACACACACACACACGCACACACGCACACACACACACACACACGCACACACGCACGCACACACACAGACACACACACACAGACACACACACATACACGCGATCGTATGTGAATGGAGTGCGGAGGGGCACTGCTCGTCACTTGTGTTGACCCGGTTAAACGACCACCTCACCGCCTCGCTCATCTCACTCGCGGAGTTCGTGGGTGGGGGGGGGGGGTAGCGCTCACCTGTGCACGGTCCTGCGCAGGTTGCCGGTGAGGAAGCGGTTGAAGAGGAGCCAGTGGAGCGGGCGCTCGAGCGAGTCGCAGCTGGCCAAGGTGTCCCACGCCGCCGACAGCGTGAGCACGGCGCTCAGCCGGCACTCGCTGCCCGAGCGCGACACGTAGTTCAGCAGCAGCATTCTGTCGGTCGGGGAGGGGGGGGGGAGGGCACGGGGGGCGGCGGGGTGGAGATAGGATGGGAAGAGATGGGATAAGGACAGGGGATTGGAGAGAGAGATGGGAAGGGAGGAGGAGGGATAGGAGGAAAGGGAAGGATACGAGAAGGAGGGGGGGATTGGAGGGAGAGAGGGAATGGGAGGAGAACGAGGCTGCGAACCTCCCACACTTCACACGATAGCCTCAAGGTGCACCGAGCTTGGCACGAATGCCGTGGAGACGTCACCGCCGCATCGTGGCGAATGGCGGCTGTTGTTAGTGTCATTGTGTGTCTGCGCGTGCGAGTCTCATCCTCCCAGTAGGGAGCGGTAGTGTAGCGGTTCGCACGCTGCGATATGAACCCGGCGACCCAAGTTCGATTCCCACTCACAGCCAACACCGGTGACGATTATCTGAAATGGTCCTGGGCCTCCCCTAGGTCGACTCGGCCTCAAATAAGTACCTGGTGCAGTGTGTAAAAATCGCCACTAGGGGGACAAAGGCGGCCGGGCGTGGCCCTGGCCACCCACCCCCTTGTGTGCCATGCTGGCCTTCATAGGTGCTCGTTAACTGCACTTTCCCCAAAAGTCGTTGAAGGCTGTACGGGGGATCTTTGTCTTTGTTTGTCTCACCCTCCCAGCGAGACCCCGGTGCCCACGAGGGGGGCGTCGGGCAGGAGGGAGCGCACGTGGTCCAGCACCGCCTCCAGGTCCTCCGTGTCGGCAGCGCAGAACGTACGCGGGGTCTGGTTGGTGGTGGGTGGGCGGGGTGGGAGAGCGACAGCCTCGCTGCAACGTGGCCACAGCCCACCACGTGGACAGCCCCAGGATGCGCAATCTCGTCGGGGACGCTCGCCCGCCCGCCCAATAAACACAGTGCACACTGCACCACGCGTACAGCCAACACTCCCATCGCACCGCACACACTCGCAACACACCACACCAGAAACACAATGCGTGCTCATCTACATACACACACGCGCACGCCAAGTAAACACATAGGAGCTCACATTCGTCAATAACGCCTGCCCCTGAAGGAAAAATGTACAATAGGCGACGCTTCGGGCAATGGTCCAAAACCACAACAAAGACACAGATCCCCCGTATAGTCTTAACAGACTTTCGCGGCAAGTGCTGTTAGCGAGGAGCACTTGTGAAGGCTGGCGAGGAGGCACACGAGGGGGTGGGTGGCCAGCACCACGCCTGGCCACCTGTCTCCCCAGTGGCGATGTTTACACACCGCACTGGGTACTCATTTGAGGTTTAGGCGACCAATGGGAGGCCCAGGACCACTTCAGATAATCGTCACCGGTGTTGGCGGTGAGCGGGAATCAAACTCGGGTTGCCGGGTTCACAGCGCAGCACACTAATCCACAACACACACTTCATCCAACACACGCCACAGACACACACCATGTACACACATACACCAAACTACACACTTACACCTAACACACACCACACCACATACACACAAACTACACACTTACACCTAACACACACCACACCACATACACACAAACTACACACTTACACCTAACACACACCACACCACATACACACAAACTACACACTTACACCTAACACACACCACACCACATACACACAAACTACACAAACACGCCTCTCATCACACACAACACACACACCGCTCGTCACGCTCACTCACCAGAAGCGCCTCCCCGCCGAACCCTCTGTTGTTAAAGACGACGCACCTGCACACACAGGGGGAGCGGCCACACGCACATCCCACACAATCACCAACAACAACACCCAACAGCAAATGCACTGTGATACGGGGACGTGAATGATAATAACAACGGCAACGCAGTACGTTTTGGCACGCGTGCCATCCTTACAGCACAAGGATTATCGCAGGAACAAGTCTGCCGTAGTTTCGCAGCAGAAGGGGTGGCGATATTGCTGTGTGTAATCCCCGTGAGAGAGATTTGAAGTTTTTGAATTTGCCAAATTTGAACCATGACACCAGAAAGGTCACGAGGCCATTTCTTTTCACATCATCTTGAATCAAGAAGTAGGAGCAGTCGCTAGGCCATCGACGGGGCCCTCTGGATTGCGAGGCCATCGACGGGGCCCTCTGGATTGCGAGGCCATCGACGGGGCCCTCTGGATTGCGAGGCCATCGACGGGGCCCTCTGGATTGCGAGGCCATCGACGGGGCCCTCTGGATTGCGAGGCCATCGACGGGGCCCTCTGGATCGCGAGGCCAGGTGTCGCCGTGATCCGGCTCTCACCGTCGTGCCGCCCCCACCCCGGGTCGCCACGACCGCTCGGATTTCGTTCCGGATCTATCGTCGGCGAGCCGGACCGCCGGGTTTGTTCAACGACGAGCCACGCGCCCCCCAAACGGGCCCGCGTGCTGGCGTCGGACGAGGGCGAAGTCCTCTACGTTGGGGGCAGACCGGCACGGCGACGTCTTGGGGGGACTCCCCCCCACCCGTCCCCTCCCCGCCCCTCCTTCGCCCCTCCCTCGCCCCTCCCCGCCCCTCCCCCTCACCTGTATCCCATGGAGAGGACGGTGCGCACCATGTAGAGCATGTAGCTCTCCCTGCTGCTGCCCGTGAGGCCCGGCAGCAGCAGCAGCGTGGGCCGCGTGGCCCCGTCCGGGTGCCGCTCGCTCGCGTCGTTGTCCGCCCAGTCGAGGGAGATGTGACCGCCGTCAGCCGTGCGGATCAGCTCGCTGGTGCCGTGGGGAATGTGGTGGGGGGGGCGAGGGAGGTAGAGATGGGGTGGGGAGGCAGCAGCAGTGGGTGATGCTTTCTCACAGACAGCGCTAATAATCAAACAAACTAAACTATTTTTTTTATTTTACCATGGAAGGCACCACTGAGCTGAACAGCTCTTGGACCTGGCAAGAAGTCCACAAAAAGAAATCACCACACACACACACAACAAGAAATAGTACAATACTAAACATTAAAAACAATTACAATCGTTTGTGATTCATTCCAGGACCAAGGTAGGGAAGGAAGCCACGACATACTGTATACCAGGCAAGGTAGTTAGCATCTCGCCAGCCCCTCCCACCCCATCTGTCGGTGGTGGTGGCGAGTTTAGTTTCAGGAATGAATGAGTGAAGTTCACCAGCGCGGCGAGGTGCAAACGATCGGCGTGCTGCCGGCACAAGCGGTGCGAGCGGCGCTCACTTGCGGTAGTGCACGGGGACCGGCGTCTTGAGCAGGACACGGACGACAGTCTGGGCGCGCCCGTCGGTGCACCAGAAGGTGGGGTAGAACTTCTCACGCACCATGGGGCAGTGGTCGTCCAGGAAGCGGCGGAACCCGGCGCCCGCCACCAGCATGGGGCGCTGGCACCGGCACAGCGGGGGGCACACGCGCAGGGCGGTGAGCACACGCACGAAGATAAGATCCCCCGTATAGCCTTAATAAACTGTTGGGGTAAGCGGCGATGAGTCAGCACCCACGAAGGGCGACACGGCACACGAGGTGGGTGTCCAGCACCATACCCGGCCGCCGCCTTTGTCTCCCGAGTGGCGATGTTTACACATTGCACAAAGTACTCATTTGGGGCTGTGCGAACCTAGGGGAGGCACAGGCGTGGTGCAGATAATCGTCACTGGCGTTGGCCGTGAGCGGGAATGGATCTCGGGTCACCAGGGCTCGTAGCGTAGCGAGCTAACCGCTGCGCCACCGCTCCCCACAAAGACTCCTTTGCTCACATACTCACGCTCGCTCGCTCGACTTGCTGTCACGGTCGCCAAGGGAAGTGTATTTTGGCACAAAGAGAGAGAGAAGAGAAACCCGAGGGAACACAAGGCGTGGCAGAGATGGAGCGGAGGGCGAAAAAAAGCAAAGAAGATGCCATGTGGCATCTTCAAATTCATGGGACCCTGCCACACGGGTGTGATGGTCAGCTCAATGGATTTGCAATCCAGGAGGTCGCCCACACCCCCCCCGCCCCCTCCTCCACCCCCCCCCCCCCAACACATTTGTCCACCCAGCAGCACGAACGGGTTAAACACCACAGTTACAGTCGATCGGCAGGGACGCGTGTGGTGGCGCACATACGTGTGTACGTATGATTTATTTCGCACCAACCGTGTTAATCGGGAGGTACAGGTTGGGTGTGGGTGCTCCCAAATCGACCGACGCGGCTGTCTGGTTCACGTTCAAGAGCAGACCAAGAACGCCACCTTAGGGTTTCTACCCACGAGTCGAAGAGCTCCCCCCCCCACATCCGCCAGCAGTGGTGCCAGCGGGCACTTGCAGGGCGACGGAGCCGCCGGTGTGAGCGGAATGGAACGTCACGTTTCCCCGAAGGTTCGTTCCCCGGGAAACAAACACCAAACTCGGCGGGCATTTAATTCATTCATTATGTTCCCTAATTAGCTGCAACCCCTGAGGAAATCCGTGTCCGTTTCCGTCAGCCTACATTTTTGCAAGTGTTAGGGTTGGTTATATTCGGGTTATATTTCGCGTTAGGTTAGGTTTATGGTTTTGTTAGCATTATGGTGAGGATTATATTAAGGTAAGGGTTAGTTTAAGTTTAGCATTATATTAGGCTTAGCTTATGGATTAGGGTTAGGTTAGGATTAGGGTTGGGTTAGGGTTTAGTGTAAGATTTTAGGCTTAGTTTATGGACGGGTTAAGTTAAGGCTAGGTTGGGGTTTGGCTTTCGTTAGTTAGGGTTAAGTTAGGGTAAGGTTGGGGTTTGGCTTTGGTTAGTTAGGGTTAAGTAGGGTAAGGTTGGGGTTTGGCTTTGGTTAGTTAGGGTTAAGTTAGGGTAAGGTTGGGGTTTGGCTTTCGTTAGTTAGGGTTAAGTTAGGGTAAGGTTGGGGTTTGGCTTTGGTTAGTTAGGGTTAAGTAGGGTAAGGTTGGGGTTTGGCTTTGGTTAGTTAGGGTTAAGTTAGGGTAAGGTTGGGGTTTGGCTATTGTTAGTTAGGGTTAAGTTAGGGTAAGGTTGGGGTTTGGCTTTTGTTAGTTAGGGTTAAGTAGGGTAAGGTTGGGGTTTGGCTATTGTTAGTTAGGGTTAAGTTAGGGTAAGGTTGGGGTTTGGCTTTTGTTAGTTAGGGTTAAGTAGGGTAAGGTTGGGGTTTGGCTTTGGTTAGTTAGGGTTAAGTAGGGTAAGGTTGGGGTTTGGCTTTGGTTAGTTAGGGTTAAGTAGGGTAAGGTTGGGGTTTGGCTATTGTTAGTTAGGGTTAAGTTAGGGTGAGGTTGGGGTTTGGCTATTGTTAGTTAGGGTTAAGTAGGGTAAGGTTGGGGTTTGGCTATTGTTAGTTAGGGTTAAGTAGGGTAAGGTTGGGGTTTGGCTATTGTTAGTTAGGGTTAAGTTAGGGTAAGGTTGGGGTTTGGCTATTGTTAGTTAGGGTTAAGTTAGGGTAAGGTTGGGGTTTGGCTATTGTTAGTTAGGGTTAAGTTAGGGTAAGGTTAGGCTCAGGTGACGTTGATTTTGTCTGTCGTAAAGTACATGCGAGTTGAGCAACTGTGCCAGAGATACGTTTCAAAAGTGGTTTCAAGTTCAGGTTTCAATTGAAAACGCACAGATGTACAGCCGACTCGTACGCAAAGTAGAATTACATACTTTGTTAAAATATATTGATTTGGTATTCTAAATATTCAGAAATGTTAACCAATACTCGGGAATATTGGGTCCTTGGAGTAAACGCATTTGGTGTAACAATGTAAAATATATTATAAATAATAAACAATAAATCAACTATCTGAGTGGCTACTTAAGGGGCGTTAGAATTATTACGCTGTAATTCTGTAGTTCCCTCATCGCATTAGCACAACTTAAATAATTAACTAGGTTTTGTTTAATTTCATCGTCTCGTTTACTTTGCTACCCCCTGCCCTGTCCTATGTCGTGAATTATGAGTATCATTCGCATATATGACTTGCCTAAATTATTAACCAAGCGATTCACACACACAATTTGGCGCACACGATTTTAAGCAATGCATCATTACGAGCGTAGCCATCTCTTGCGATGACTAACGGAGCAGCAGCAGCAGCAACATCAACAACATTAGCAAGTCCAACAGCAATGAAGCCAGTTCCAATCTTCCTCGACGTGCCGAGTCTTCTCTAAAAACAAATCCCCGGTGATTGTGGCCTCCCCCCATGTGCCCCTGGCCCGTGATATCACCCAAATAACTTTCCATCTCGCGCAATTAACTGCGCAATTATTCTACCGAGATCCGATTAATCGACTGCAGGAATCCATGCTCTTTGGTTCTTTCGGTAAAGTCAAGTGGGTATTTTATTTTATTTCTAACTACGTGACTTTACCGAAAGAACCAAAGTGTATGGAACCCATAAGTCGTCAATTACTTTATTTAAATAACCTGATATGGCCACGCCATTCAGAAGTGATGTACAATGTATAAGCACAAATGAATCGCTGATGTGACATACAGTCACGCTAACGGTTGTAAAGACGCTAAAAAAATACATGTCATTAAAAATGTTTTATCTTAAAATCCCAACAGCAATAAAATGCGACACAATATCGATCCCCGCGTGGCGTCGTGACCTCGCAAACATCTTGGAACCCGTCTTTGGCAATCTTTGGGCAAGGGTCCAGAGTGACCACGGAGACGCGGCGGCGGTGCTGAAGGTCGCAGCGAGTTGCCACGACGCGGCACACGACACACAGCAAGGAAGGACGCGGCACGGTACAGCACGTGGCACGGTACAGCACGTGGCACGGCACAGCCCACGTGACACGGCATAGCCCACGGCACGGCACAGCCCACGTGACACGGCATAGCCCACGGCACGGCACAGCCCACGGCACGGCACAGCCCACGGCACGGCACAGCCCACGGCACGGCACAGCCCACGTGACACGGTACTGCACGTGGCACGGTACAGCACGTGGCACGGTACAGCACGTGGCACGGTACAGCACGCGGCTCGGCACAGCCCACGGCACGGCCCACGTGACACGGTACAGCACGTGACACGGTACAGCACGTGACACGGTACAGCACGTGGCACGGTACAGCACGCGGCACGGCACAGCCCACGTGACACGAGGAATGAGTGACAAACGGGCCGGCTGCTCCCGGCCAATGACAGAGCGCAGCACGACGAGTCAGCCAGGCAGCCTGTGTGAACGTCAATGTCACGGCCTTCCACCGCTTCGTCAATGACTGACGACGCAGCGGCTTCCTCCGCCTGCTGCTGGCAGTATTTCAGTGACAGTCCCCCCCCCCCCCCGCGTCAATGACATGGTCAGTGACGCAGTCACCCCTAGGTGACCCCCCCCCCCAGGTGAGTGACACAGCGAGAGAGCGGTGAGTGACACAGTGAGAGTCACCCCTAGGTGACCCCCCCCCCCGCCAGGTGAGTGACACAGCGAGAGAGCGGTGAGTGACACAGTGAGAGAGCGGTGAGTGACACAGTGAGAGCGGTGAGTGACACAGTGAGAGAGCGGTGAGTGACACAGTGAGAGAGCGGTGAGTGACACAGTGAGAGAGCGGTGAGTGACACAGTGAGAGCGGTGAGTGACACAGTGAGAGAGCGGTGAGTGACACAGTGAGAGAGCGGTGAGTGACACAGCGAGAGAGCGGTGGGTGACACAGTGAGAGAGCGGTGGGTGACACAGTGAGAGAGCGGTGAGTGACACAGTGAGAGGGCGGCCTCGTGTATCAGCCCCGCGCAGTGGCACTCAGCAGGACTTCTGCTTCGCGCTACCGCCGCCACTTCCTCGTCACTGGGTCAAAGGTGACGCCGGCCGGGCCCAGTGGAGTCCCGAACAGCCCCCCAAGGCAAAGATCCCCCGGGTAGCCTTCAAAGGACTGTAGGGGCAAGTGCTGTTAGCGAGCACCTATGAAGGCCGGCACGACACACGAGGGGGTGGGGTGGTCAGCACCACGCCCGGCCGCCTTTGTCTCTCTAGTGGTGATGTTCACACACCGCACCAGGGACTCATTTGAGGCTGAGTCGACCTAGGGGAGGCCCAGGAACGGTTCAGGCAATCGTCACCGGTGTTGGTCGTGAGCGGGAATGGAACTCACGTGGCCGGGATCGTAGCGCTGCGCGCTAACCACTGCGCCACCGCTCCCTGGACAACATCCACGCACACCACCACCCTCACCACCACCACCAGCCTCACCACCACCACCCTCACCACCACCACCCTCACCTGAGCTGCGCGCCGCAGGTAAAACCCCGCGAACACCGCCGCCGCCGCCGCGGCCCCCATCACCAGCAGCGGCAGCAGCGGCGAGGCCGCCGCGGGCTTCTCGTCGCCGGGAGCCGCGCGGGCCTCGCTCGGCAGCAGCAGCAGCAGCTCCCCCGCGCGCCTCAGCAGCCCCTGCGCACACGCCTCGCTCGCCATGGCGAGGCACGGACACGACGACGAGGGCGACGACGAGGAGGAGGATGGTGGTGGTGGTGGACTGGTGGTGGTGGCTGAGAAGCCGTCACCGCTTTAGCCGGTCACCACCTCCCCCCATTGACCCCCACGCGCGGCATAGCCCCGCCCCCTCCAGCCCCCAAAGCTTCCACTCGTCCCCTAGCCCCGCCCCCTAGCCCCGCCCCCAGTCTCATAGCCCCGCCCCCTAGCCCCGCCCTCAGCCCCATAAAACCCCAATCTCATAGCCCCGCCCCCAGCCCCGCCCCCAGCCCCGCCCCTAGTCTCATAGCCCCGCCCCCAGTCCCATAGCCCCGCCCCCAGTCCCATAGCCCCGCCCCCAGTCCCATAGCCCCGCCCCCAGTCCCATAGCCCCGCCCCCAGTCCCATAGCCCCGCCCCCAGTCTCATAGCCCCGCCCCCCCAGTCTCATAGCCCCGCCCCCCAGTCCCATAGCCCCGCCCCCAGTCAAACACCCCCCCCCAGTACTATAGCCCCGCCCCTAGTCCCATAGCCCCTCCCTCCCCGCCGCCTCGTGTTCACCACACACACAGAGTGATTGAACAAAAAATGTCTCTTCGCGTTCGTTTGTTTGGCGACCCATGGCACGTGTAGGAGGTGGTTGTGAGGGCATCGTCCCTCCTGCGGGCAGCTCGCTCCGTGCAGGTCGTTCGCATCACAACTCAACACGCGGTCTTCGCGTTCGACCCATTCTCAATCCACAGCTGGATGAAGGCTTCCCAACGAATGCTCGTGGCAAGTGCGATGAAGTATGGGCATGGGGCAGCGATAAGAAACAACAACAACAAACGACAAACAAACAGGGCGGATGAAATATGTATTTTTTATTGAGGGAAGCCAGGGCCTCAAGCGACAACCACGAGCAGATGAGAGTGAGACCAGGGGAATGCGTGCTGAGGGTGGCAGATCAGTGTGAGCGTGGGACCATCTGTCCATGGGTCAATGGATTGAATTCTCGATTTTAATCAGCAAGACATATATCTTTGACAAAACACACACCGGACTAACATTTCTCGCATCTCTCACTTCTTCCTCTGACAAAAAAAAAGAAACGTGAGTGAAAGTCTCATCGACTCTACGTCTCGTTTCGTCCCATATCTGAACTGGACCTCCTGCGTCAGCTCGCACCGATGGAGACATCGTGGTCCACGGGAGGAGACGAGTTGACTGCGTTCCCACTTGTCGATGTGGCAGATCCCGTCTAGAAAGCCCTCGCCCACATTTTCAACCTCTTAACGAAGGTACATTAACCACAAATCTGGCTGTCGCCTGATGAAGCTAGTTGTAATTACTGGCGAAACGTCGTACTCAGATTGTAAATGTTGTGGCTTGGCTCTCCAACACACCGGTTAGTGCTGTACTAGTGACGAACTGGCCGCGTTCTGTTTACGTGACAACCCTTACTAGTTGGCTGTGTCGGGTGGTGGTGGGTTTTAACGACACATTTATATATTTACGCGATCGAACCCAACAAAAACCTCTACCATGTCCCTTCAGTGACCTGGAGAAAGTCCTCTACTGCAGTGCACTATTCCTCGACTCGTTATTGTCTCTTTATGACTCGCCCATACTGGACATCTGTGAAAAAGAGCTTTATAGTTTGTCGGATTTCTCCAGTCTCAATGAAGATTCCGATTCTGATCCGTGTCAGGGTGGGATGAGTGTGCGGGTGGGATCAGTGGAAGGGTGGGATCAGTGTGAGGGTGTGATAAGGGGGATCAGCCACTATGAAGGTGGGGTCAATGGGAGGATGGGATCGGAGAGGGGAGAGTGATAGCTGGGTTACGATGAGGCTGGGATCAGTGGGCAGGCTGCGTTCCTTCCCGCACGTCCCCCTGCTCCCCCTCTTCATCCCCCGCCCCCGGAAACACGCGCTGCAGGTAGGGGTTGAGGAAGAGGCCGTGGGGATCCAGGCGAGAGCGGACTCGAGCGAATTCCTCTAGGCCCGGGTACATGCGTGACAGATCCTCTGCGGTGCAGCCATGCGCCTGGGGGCGCGGTGGGGCAGAGAGGGGGCCCTGTTACCCCCCAGTACGCCACTCACAAGGGACCCTCACTCGCATGAGACCCCGTTACATGACACTCAGGGGACCCCACTCACAGGGGGGGGGGGGGGGGGTCCTGTACCTTAGCCCAGTGAGGGCGCCCCCCTGCCCGGCGCATGATGTCCTCGTAGGCCGCCCAGTACGCACCACGCTCGGCCTCGCGGTTATAGGGCCTGGGTTCACACGCAGGCACACACACAGAACCCTCATGTAGCCCTAACAGGCTGTTGGGGCAAGGGCTGCTAGCGAGTAACACCTATGAAGGCCGGCACGACACACGAGGGGGTGGGTGGTCAGCACCAGGCGGCCGCCTTCGTCTCGCTAGTGGCGATGTTCACACACCGCACCAGGTACTCATTTGAGGCTGAGTCGACTTAGAGGAGGCCCCCACAGGATCGCTGAAGATAATCGTCGCCGGTGTTGATGGCCGTGAGCGGGAATCGAATTCGTAGCGCAGCGCGCTAAGCACTGCGCCACCGCTCGCTCGCAGGCGCTCCTACCCGCGCACGACACGCACACACCTGTAGGTGATGATGTTGATGTAGCACGAGTCTCGCCCGCTACAGGGGCTCATCAGGATGTCATCGGCGCGCGCGAAGCGGACCTCAACGGGGACGTGGGCGGGGACGCCCGGCGTCGCCTGCACCCAACGCGACAGCTGGGTGAGCGCCCAGCCGGCTCGCTCGCTGGGACGCGGGGTCACGGGGTCACACGGAGGAACAAGGAGGTCATAGGGGAACACAAGCAGGGGGTGACGGGGGAACAAGGAGGTCATAGGGGAACACGGGGTGACAGGGGATCACGGCGTCACAAGAGGACACGGGGTCACGGGGTAAACACGGGGTCACCGGGGGAACACGTGGACATGGGGACACAGAGACAACGGAACGTGGGGAGACAGGGACCAGCGTTACAGGGACAGGAGGACATGGGGGTACAGCGGTAGGTAGATCAGGGAAGGCAGGGACAAACAGGAACACGGGGTCATCGGGGCACGGGGTCATCAGGGCACAGATTAATCTCACCGAGGCAGGGCCCAGTCCTGCACGTGCTGCAGGAAGAGGCAGTCGAAGTTGAAGATGCGGTCGCTACGGTCCACGCGCTCCGTGCGCCCCGAGAAGAGCACGCGGAACGCCACGCGGTTGATCCACGGGACGAGGCGCGGCACGAGGACGCTGCCGTGAGACACGGGGGGGGGGGCAGAGGGGGGCAGGGGGGGCAGTAGAGGCAGCCACCGAAATTCACCGCAACACCCTCACCAATCAGAACACCCTCGCAGAGCTGTCGGAAAGACCGACAGACCTGTTCTTCACCTGAGGACGGCTGCTTGCGTTGTGGCCGAAACGTCGTGAGAATTGTATTTTATTATGAATCCCTGCAGTCACGAAAGCTTTAAATCGAAATCTATGGGTAGTGTTTCATCTATGGGCAGTGTTGAGTCTATAGGCAGTGTTGAGTCTATGTATGTGTATACAGTATGTGTTGAACTTAATTTGCGTCGTGCGTAGCCAACCGCGTACAGTATATGGGATGTGGTCATTATATATAATTCACGAACAGCGGTTGTGAGATGCTGTCAGTATGAATGGCGCGATATAAAATTAAAATAACATTTTTATAATTATTCTGAACGATCCTCATCTCGTGTCCATTAGCCGGGCGGCGGTGACGGTGGCTACGCTGCTGCACGTGGCTGTATGTGTGTATGTGTAACTTCTTTCGCACCGTACGTAGCCAACCGTGCTAACCGGAGGTGCGGCTGCCTGTAACCCAGCGCGGCGTGGGGACAGCAGCAGCAGCAGCAGCGAGGGTTGGTGGATCACACACAGATGGAACCCGCTTCCAACCCCAAGGGTGGGCGACGAGGGGAAGCCGGACCCTTTGCTCGCCAGGAGATGGCGCGATGTGGACTCCACCTGCACTCCACCTGTTCTGTCTGCAATGGGGATAGAGTGTTGCCCCCTCGCACTTGGGTGGTTTCTCCGGGTGCTCCGGTTTCCTCCCACGTGTAAGCACTCCCTACTTGGCCGAGAATACTTGAAACGATAGAGGACCGCAGAGCTTGGGCAATTGATGGTACTGGCTTATCGCATGGCTGCTGCTGCTGCCTTCCCGCTCCTGGTCTGTGATTCCTCCTCCTGTCACCTCTGAGTCGTTCCCCTCTCTCTCTCGATGAGAGCGTTACACGTTTCCATGAAAGATATCGTATTCGATGGTCCGGCAAGGCGCGTGGTGGTGAGTACCACACAAGTACCTGAGCCACAGCAGGAACTCGAACAGGTAGTAGCCGACCAAACGGTCCCAGAACCAGCTGCGGGGGTTCTTGATGGGCTGAGGGTCACGGGAGCGGGGGGGGGGGTCAACGTGAGCACCACTCACAGGTACAACATCATTTATAAAGCTCTCCCGCAGGGGACCATATTTCTGATATGCACATGTCACTTTTATCATCTGCAGAGCGATTTTACTTAGTTTAAAAAAATATTTTTTTATGTATTTTAAAATATTGTTGCCGCTGTTTACATTGTTGTTCGTTTTCACAAGCTGAGAGAGAGTGACACTGGAACAAAGAATCTCACTGCCATGTACCTCACGTGTGCATGGGTATGTGATCAATAAAGCTGACTGACTTACTGACTGACTTACCTGACCCACACCTTAGCCGCACCTCAACGCTCACAAATGTCTGGAAGGGCTCAACCGGGACACTTCTGAACCGGCCGCCCCTCCCTCCACACACTAATTTATCATAACCCCGCCCACCACCCAGGTAGCTCCCCCCACTGCTCCGATAGCCCCGCCCACCACCCAGGTAGCCCCCGCTCACTCCGCAGGTAGCGCTGTGACATCCTCGCTGGCCTGACGGGAACTGTCACAACCTAACGGGGAAGGTTTGGTGACCTCGCCTGCCCTGGCCTCGGCTGCCCTCACCTGGTCGGTGCGGTCGATGTAGAACACGGTCACGTGGTCGGTGTAGGGGAACCAGAAGAACTTGAAGAACTCGGAGCGCGAGAGGTGAGTGTCCAGCTCACCCAGCACCTGGTGGGCAGGGAGGCAGGGGGCGACTCGCTCACTCACCCGCGCCCGCGTGACGCTCACCTGTGCACCTATGTTGAACTTCTTTCGCACCGTACGTAGCCAACATGCAGCGGTGCGTGCGTGACGCTCACCTCGGCGAGGGTGCTGGGGAAGGTGCGCTGCGCGAGGCGGAACGCGGCCACGCACTGCAGCGAGACGGTGAGCACCACGCCGAGCGCGCCCAGGTGCACGCGCGCCGCACTCAGTAGGTCCCGGTTGGACTCGACGCTCACGCTCACCACCTCGCCAGACGCCAGCATCAGAGACAGCGCACACACCTGCACGGCGGGGCCACGACACGTGCGGTGAGCGCGCGGTGAGCACGCGGTGAGGAGTGGGAGGGTGAGGAGTGGGAGGGTGAGGAGTGGGAGGGTGAGGAGTGGGAGGGTGAGGAGTGGGAGGGTGAGGAGTGGGAGGGTGAGGAGTGGGAGGGTGAGGAGTGGGAGGGTGAGGAGTGAGAGGGTGAGGAGTGGGAGGGTGAGGAGTGAGAGGGTGAGGAGTGAGAGGGTGAGGAGTGGGAGGGTGAGGAGTGAGAGGGAGGGTGAGGAGTGGGAGGGTGAGGAGTGGGAGGGTGAGGAGTGGGAGGGTGAGGAGTGAGAGGGTGAGGAGTGGGAGGGTGAGGAGTGGGAGGGTGAGGAGTGGGAGGGTGAGGAGTGGGAGGGTGAGGAGTGGGAGGGTGAAGAGTCGGAGGGTGAGGAGTGGGAGGTTGAGGAGTGGGAGGGTGAGGAGTGGGAGGGTGAGGAGTGAGAGGGTGAGGAGTGGGAGGGTGAGGAGTGAGAGGGTGAGGAGTGGGAGGGTGAGGAGTGAGAGGGAGAGTGAGGAGTGGGAGGGTGAGGCGCCCTCACCTGAGTGGGGAGGATGCCGTGCGCTGCCCCAGTGTTGTGGGTCCCGGTGCCAATCACCCCGCCCACCGTGACGTCAGACACCGCCCCGATACTGGGGGGAGGGGGTGTGGGGGGTCATGGGGGGAGGTGGGGGTCATGAGGGGAGGGGGTGTGGGGGGTCATGGGGGGAGGGTGTGTGGGGGTCATGGGGGGAGGGGGTGGGGGTCATGGGGGGTCATGGGGGGGTGAGGGTCATGGGGGGAGGGGGGCAAGGAGGGGGTTGGGCTACCTGGCCTGTCACTCCACACGATGCCCCCGGTGTCTTCCCGACCACACGCGTGTTGAGCGCGGTTTGGCGACGTACGGCGCTAAAGAAGTTCGACCCACATGCTGCCCGACGTTCTCTCAGCTTGCGCAACGTGGACTCCTCTGAAGGAGGATGACCACCTGCGCCGGCTTGAGAACGCTCAGGCTGGCCTGCCTACGACCCACGGTGGGTTTCACCTGGCTGCGTTGTGTGCGCAGCTCACAGATTGTTGAGAATATATCCAGTGTGGCGAGTATGGTAGGTGTGGTGTGAGTGGTGTGGTGTTTGTGTATGGTGTGGTGTGTGTGGTGGGTGTGAGTGGTGTGTATGGTGTGTGTGGTGTTTGTGTATGGTGTGGTGTGTATGGTATGAGTAGTATGAGTGGTATGAGTGGTGTGTATGGTGTGAGTGGGGTGAGTGGTGTGGTGTGTATGATGTGGTTTAGTGTGGTGGTCGTGGTGTGTATGGTTTGAGTTGTGTGTGTGGTGTGTGTGGTATGGGTGGGGTGTATGGTGTGTGTGGTGTGAGTGGTGTGTGTGGGGTGTATGGTGTGCTGTGTATGGTGTGAGTGATGTGTGAGTGGTGCGTGTGGTGTGTGTGATGTGTGTGGTGTTTGTGTGGTGTGTATGGTGTGGTGTGTGGTGTGTGTGTATGGTGTGAGTGATGTGTGAGTGGTGCGTGTGGAGTGTGTGTGGTGTGTGTGGTGTGAGTGGTGTGTGTGGTGTGTATAGTGTGGTGTGCGGTGTGTGTGTATGGTGTGAGTGATGTGTGAGTGGTGCGTGTGGAGTGTGTGTGGTGTGTGTGTGGTGTGTGTGTGTGTATGGTGTGCATGGTTTGTGTGATGTGTGAGTGGTGCGCGTGGTTGTGGCTACTTGGAGAGGGCGAGTCCGTGTTTCGCGAGTTCCTCGTTCAGGTCACTCAGCATCGCCCCGGCCTGGACGGTGACGCGCCGAGACTCCCGGTCCACCTGCCACACCAACCACGTCAACCACACCAACCACACCAACCACACACCACACACCACACCACAGCAAATACACAGCAATCACACACACCACACCACATCAAATACACCACACACACCACACACACCACACACCAACCACACACACCACACACCAACCACACACACCACACACCAACCACACACACCAACCACATACACCAACCACACACCACACACCCCACATCAAATACACCAATCACACACCACACACACCACATCAAATACCCCAATCACACACCACACAAACCACACACACCACACACACCAACCACACACACCACACACACCACATCAAATACACCAACCACACACCACAGCAACCACACACAGCAACAACATACACCACACCAACCACACACACCACACCAACCACAACAACCACACACACCACACCACACACACCACACACACCACACCAACCACACCGACGACAACGACACACCACGCATTGACACTGGATCATCGGTCACAAGGCTTAAGTGTCCCTCTGCTGGAAGGGGTTACCTGCAGCACTCTGCTGGAAGGGGTTACCTGCAGCTCCCTGCTGGAAGGGGTAACCTGCTGCTCCCAGCTGAATGGGGTAACCTGCTGCACCCTGCTGAAAGGGGTAACCTGCAGCACTCTGCTGGAAGGGGTTACTTGTAGGACCCTGCTGGAAGGGGTTACCTGCTGCTCCCTGCTGGAAGGGGTAACCTGCTGCTCCCAGCTGAATGGGGTAACCTGCTGCACCCTGCTGAAAGGGGTAACCTGCAGCACTCTGCTGGAAGGGGTTAGCGGCAGCTCCCTGCTGAATGGGGTTACCTGCAGGACCCTGCTGGAAGGGGTAACCTGCTGCTCCCTGCTGGAAGGGGTAACCTGCTGAACTCTTCTGGAAGGGGTTACCTGCAGGACCTTGTTGAAGCGCTCCAGGCTGACCATGAAGTCCTCGGTGCAGGCGATGTCAGAGGGTGAGTGCCCGGCCCCAACCACCTTCACGTGGCGCCCGGCACCACGCGCCTGGGCCAGCACCTACAACAGCCAACAACCACCACAACTACAATCACCACAACCACAATCACCACAACCACAATCACCACAACCACCACAACCACAATCAATCACCACAGCCACAATCACCACAACCACAATCACCACAACCACCACAACCACAACCACCACAATCACAACCACCACAATCACCACAACCACTATCGCCATGCGTGCTGCATGCGTGCTGTATATGCGTGTTGTAACGGCGTGCCGTATATGCGTGCTGCATCCGTGCTGCATGCGTGCTGTATATCCGTGCTGTATATGCGTACCACATATGCGTGCTGCATGCGTGCTGTATATCCGTGCTGTATATGCGTACCACATATGCGTGCTGCATGCGTGCTGTATATGCGTGCTGCATGCGTGCTGTATATCCGTGCTGTATATCCGTGCTGCATATGCGTGCTGCATGCGTGCTGTTCACACGTCTCGGATCTCGGCCTCGCTGCTGGGCATGAAGAAGAGCTCTGGGCGACACGTGAAGGTTCGCGCCCAGTTGCTGAAGCGGTGGCCTCGTTCACCCTGCGCACAAAGACAAAGGTCCCCCCCCCCCGTGTAGCCTTCGCACGCTGGTGGGGCAAGTGCTGTTAGCGAGTAGTCCGTATGAAGGCCGCAACGTCTCAACGATGACGCGGTTAGGTAGCCAACAACCACGGCCGGACCGCCGCCTTTGTCTCCCCAGTGCCAATGTGTACACGCAGAAACGTGTACTGTGCTGTACTCACTTAAGGCCGAGTCGACCTAGGGGAGGTCCCGGACCGGGTTCAAATATTCGCTGCCGAATGTTGGCCGTGAGAGGGAATTTAACTCTGGCTGGCCCGGTTAGTAGCCACCGCTCTACCAATGCGTTGTCTCTGATTTGTGTTGTACACCCCTCCGCCACCCGACGACACAGCCCAGTAAACAAGGGTCATTTAATGGCGCGTTTGTTCGTCGCGTGGCTACTTTATTCGGCTGCGTCGGGTGGTGCTCTAACAAAACAAACATCTGCATATGATCCGGCAGCGTAGTTTAAATCTTATCTTATCTCATATTTATATAACGCCTTTATCCAAGGCGCTTTACAAGGGGTATGAGTGTTACAATGACGGTAGCTAAAAGTGATAGGGTGAACAGAGATTGGGGTCTGGGGAGAGAGGTTCGTGGGTACGGGAATTACGGTGGGTACCTGGGGATGTAGGGGTGAAGGATGGGGCCAGGGAGGAGAGGTGGGGGACTTGAAGGAGGAGCGGGAAGTGGACAGGGTGCTCGCTGCTCCATGTGGAGGGGAAGTGTGTTCCCGTGCCAGGGGGCAAGTCGGGAAAAGGAGCGGAAACGGTGGATTGGGCACAACGAGTGGGGGGGGGGGGGGTGAGGAGTTCGGGGAGAGATTGCGAGCGGAGAGGGCGGGCGGAGACGTCACGTGACGAGACAAGGCAAGCGAGGTGCGGTGTGTCGCTGTGGCAGATTGATGATTTGGAAGCACAGGTGCTGACCAACGTCCAAAACCCCCAAGTCCTCGTCGAATCATGCAAAACGTCTCTCTCTAGAAACCATCACAAGCCTCCCGTACGTCACGTGACTTAGGTGGGGCCACCCCCACTCTGACCCCACTCTGACCCCTCTCATCTATCGATCTCGGTTTCCAAGTCAGCTCAAGCCTCCCGTGAACCACGTGACTCCCGTGTAGCCACCCCCACTCTGACCCCTCCCCTCTCCCCGCCCACTGTGAAAACGAACGCCGCTCCTCTGCCTCTCCCCCCTCCCCCCTTTCATCGTCATCATCATCATCACCACCCTCTCTTCATCCCCGTGGGTGGCTGTCGTGGGTGGCTGTAGTGGGTGGCTGTTGCGGGTGGCTGTAGTGGGTGGCTGTCGTGGGGGACTGTAGTGGGTGGCTGTAGTGGGTGGATGTCGTGGGTGGCTGTGGTGGGTGGCTGTCGTGGGTGGCTGTCGTGGGTGGCTGTAGTGGGTGGCTGTCGTGGGTGGCTGTCGTGGGTGGCTGTAGTGGGTGGCTGTAGTGGGTGGTCAGCAGACACGAGGGAGACTTTGAGGACTCATCTGAATCTTTATTTTATTTTTCTTGGATAAATCCGATGAGCCGTGAAGCTCTTTGTTTTTGACAGATGTCCAGGAGACTTGGGGGGCAGGCGGCTCGTTGGCAGATCGCGTCAACAACAACAACCGCCGTTCACGGCTAAGTGGCCGTGATGTCACCACGGCGCTTATGCCAGGCTAGGTGCACCGAGGTGGCTTAAGTGCACCGAGCCTGGTTCAAGCGCCGTGGCCACGTCACGGCCACTTCGTGGTGAACGGCGGTGGTTGTTGTTGTTGTTGCACTTTGAGTCCGTCACGCGTGAAGTGTTGAAGGCTCGCTGTTGGCAGCAGCGAGTCACGGGGCAGACCCCAGCTGGGATGACCGACTGAGACGACGGGAAGATGCCCCACCTGAGCCCCCCCCCCCCCCCCCCCACTGTGCCAGGCTAGGTGCAGGAGCAGCTCACGGGACAGACCCTGGGTGTGCCATTGGACGACCGACTGAGACGACGGGCAATTGCCCACACGAGCCCCCCACTGCGCCATCTCTGTGGGTCGCCCCTGCGGCTCGCGTCGCCACGCCACGCCACGCAGGGTCGCGTCGGACCCGAACGTCGCTCGCCTGAGTGGAGGAAGTTTCACGCGGAGCCTTTCGAGACTCAATGTGCCGTGGCTGGGCTCCTCAACACACCGCCGCTGTGTGCTGTGCTCGTGGTGACGAATTGCCACCTTCCGTTTACGTGGCACAACATTACTAGTTGGTCGCGTCGGGTGGTGGCGGGTTTAACGACACATTTAGATTTTTGCGTGATCTACCCCCCCCCCTAAAAAACACCTGTATTATAAGTGTAGGAATGCGCCTATTTTGATTAAATACTTAAACCCCGACGCTGTGTCGTGTGTGTGTCGTGTGCGTCTCGTGCGGCAGTGCAGCGGGGAGCGCGCTGCCGCTCCGGACCGAGCCGCCCGAGTTCGATCCCCGCTCAGGGCCACCCAACAGCGGTGAGGGTCGCAGTGAATCCCCGGTTCACGTCGGGGATGCGTTCTGACGAAAAGTTACGACGACCAATGTCGAAGCGACGTCAAATCAAAGCAATTAACAGCGCAGGTGGAGGCGGAGCCCGAGGCGAAAGCTGCGAGAAAGGACGGATTACGGTGTCCGCGACGTACGTGCGGTTTGAGACGACGCTAATCAGGTAGCGGTCTTAATTTAGTGTCGACGTATTTGCGAAACAACTTACAAGGGGGGCGGGAGGCGACGTTAATGATTATCTGAACCGTTCAGATGATGATGATTATATCTGAAGCGCTCTCGCGATGATAATCCATTTTGCAAGAGTAATCTGGCTGGATGAGTGGGTGGGCGAGTGAGTGAACGAGTGAGTGGGTGGGCAAGTGAGTGAATGAGTGAGTTGGTGGGCGAGTGAGTGAATGAGTGGGTGAGTGAATGAGTGAGTGGGTGGGCGAGTGAATGAGTGAGTGGGTAGGCGAGTGAGTGGGTGGGTGGGCGAGTGAGTCGGTGAGTTAATTTAACTAGGTCAACACCAGTGATGATTATCTGCACCACTCACGGTCAAGGCTTGTTACGGTCCATTCTTCGCCTGAGGACGGCTGCTTGCGTTGTGGCCGAAACGTCGTGAGAATTGTTTTATTATGTTTTATTTTTATTATTTTATTACTTCCCTTCTACGTGACTTTACCGAAAGAACCAAGAAGATGAATCCCTGCAGTCACGAAAGCTTTAAATCGAAACTTGTTACGGTTATCTGAAGCGGTCCTGGGACTCCTCTAGGTCCACTCGGCCTCAAATGAGTAGCTGGTGCGGTGTATAAACATCGCCACTGGGGAGACAAAGGCGGCCGGGCGTGACCACCCACCCCCTCGTGCCGGCCTTCATGGGTGCTGCTCGCTAACAGCGCTTGCCCCAGCAGTCTGTGAGTGGTGTCACGGGTGACGACGAACTCACAAACCCTCGACATTGAAACAAATCTCGTGGTTAACTAAATGTAGTCAAGTACACGTACGTACATTTAAAATCGAGGTTTTCACGAGTGCACAATATCCATACATTCTGAGCTCTGTTAAAGGTCTGTCTTGCATTTTCTATTGAACTCGCTACATTCCTGAGAAGTCTCGATCACCGTGCAGCCAGTTGCAAGCCGATCGACTGCCGAGTAGGTGGGTGAGTGGGTGAGGTGAGTAGGTGGGTGAGTAGGTGAGTGGGTGGGTGAGGTGAGTGAGGTGAGTAGGTGGGTGAGTTGAGTAGGTGGGTGAGTGCGTGTGTCGGTGAGCGAGTGGGTGACTTGTTGACACTTTTCTATATTTTGCACCGTCGTGTTGTTTGTTTGTTGTTGACGTCTGAACAAGAGCTTCACAGCTCACCGGATTCCTCCTCCAGTCTCAATAAATATTCCCATTCCGATGCTGCAAAAGGTGCCCAAAGTAAACGATTCACCACCCCTGCCTGCAACTTGTCATCGGGGTGATGTTCAAAAGCGCGACATTGGCAGATGAAAGCGAATCCAAGCAGAAGTCAGAGAAATCATTCAGAAGCACAGACAGAGCAGGAGACGTGACGTTGAGCGATCGTCAACCACAGCCGCCATTCTCGGGTTCCCCACTGCCGGGTCACTGGGGTCCGCACGTCTTAGGGATCAGAATCAGAGACCCGAGATCTCTGGATACAGATCACGGATCGCTGGTCCCATGTCCCAGTACCAGCTCAGTCGACTCACCTGCACCATGGCTCCGAGCTGACAGACGAGGCGAGGAGCAGGAGACTGGGTTCCTGGAGGAGTCTGCCTGGCTGGGGAGATGGATGGAGATGGCTGGAGATGGCTGGATAGATGGATGGAGAGCGAGAGAGGGGGGTCCCGGAGTGATATACGAGACAGATGGGTGGAGAGATGAAGCGATGGATGGATGGGACGCTGGTGAAATGGATGGAGATGGTGGATGGAGAGACCGGCTAGAGAGACGACTCGAGAGAGAGAGACGCTTGGGAGGGTGCAGTGTTGGACTCTGTCCCCTGCGCGTTATTAATTGACCAGGATTCTATTGAAACGAAATAAATTTCCAATTACCAATTAGGGCACCCGCAATGGCCCCTGACCCCGGATTCTCAGAGGGCGGCGAGGGGAGCCAGGATCCTTTGGGGTCCCCACAAACAACCAGCACCCATTGACTCGGAGTCGTGGTGAGACAAAGTCACGCTTCACAAAGACTCCATGCAGACAGCACTCGCATACACGACAGCCAAGACATTCCCACAACCACCACACCATACAGCCGTTCTCACCACAAGCACGCGCCACCTATCGGCACTACAACCGCTCACATCAACCACTCTGAATGAGCAAACTACACTCACCAAAACAACAATCACGTTACACCCTCTGGAACAGGACTCGCATGGCGTCCATTCTCAACACCCGTAATTGCAACACCTGTTTCTCTTTGACGAGACAAAACAAGTATAGAATGGTGACGTTTCGGGCAATGGACCTTCTTCATAGCACATACACGGAAAGGCCAGAGAGGTAGTTGTCACATGACACCCACCTCACACCACACCCCCCGCTCTCGCACCACGCCGCCCTCTCTCCGCGTGACAAACGGAGGCACACGTGGAGCGATTGGCCCACGCTTTAATTGCACCGTGACCACAGCCACCCACGCGGACGTCCGGAAACGACGTCGGCCTCGGGCACCCGCGGTCAGAGTTCCACGGAATGACGCAGAGATTCGGTTTTCAAAAATCACGATCAAGAGTACAAATAAAATAAAAACAACACAGACCAGACAGGGCCTTCAACGGGGGAATGCTCAGCCCCCTCCGGAGGCTCGGGGCCTCGCAGAGGGGGGCCTCAGTAGGCCCCCGGCACAACCATCGACTGACACGCGCACAAAGACAAAGCAGCCTTAACAGACTGTTGGGGCGAGTGCTGTTAGCGAATAGCACCTATGAAGGCCGCCACGGCACACGAGGGGTGAGTGGCCAACGCCACGCCCGGCCGCCTTTGTCTCCCCCAGTGGCGATGTTTACACACCGCACCAGGTACTCATTTGAGGCCGAGTCGACCTAGGGGAAGCCCAGCACCGGTTCAGAGAATCGCCACTGGTGTTGGCCGTGAGCGGGTGTCGAACTCTGGTCGCCGGGTTCGTAGTGCAGAGCGCTAACCATTACACCACCGCTCTCCCCACATACACACACACACGTACACACACACACACACGTACACACACACACACACGTACACACACACACACACGTACACACACACACACACACACGTACACACACACACACACACGTACACACACACACACACACGTACACACACACACACACACGTACACACACACACACACACGTACACACACACACACACACGTACACACACACACACACACGTACACACACGTACACACACACACACACGTACACACACACACACACGTACACACACACACACGTACACACACACACATACACACACACACACGTACACACACACACACACACGTACACACACACACACACACACACGTACACACACACACACACACGTACACACACACGTACACACACACGTACACACACACACACACACGCACACACACACACACACGCACACACACACACACGCACACACACACACACACGCACACACGTACACACACACGCACACACGTACACACACACACACACACGTACACACACACACACACACGTACACACACACACACACACGTACACACACACACACGTACAGACACACACACACACGTACACACACACACACGTACACACACACACACGTACACACACACGTACACGTACACGTACACGTACACACACACGTACACGTACACACACACGTACACGTACACACACACGTACACGTACACACACACGTACACGTACACACACACGTACACACACACACGTACACACACACACGTACACACACACACGTACACACACACACGTACACACACACGTACACACACACACGTACACACACACGTACACACACACGTACACACACACGTACACACACACGTACAAAGATAAAAGTCCCCCTCTAGCCTCTACGGACTGTTGGGGGCGAGTTCTGTTCGTGACCTCCTATAAAAGGTGTATACACACACACGGTTATCCACATACACACACACACATGTTAGGCATGTAACGAGCATCAAATCAGTAATTAAAATCGATACGACTAGCATCGTGAGAGACCCAAGGGGTCAATTATGCAATGTTGACGAAACTTACAGCATTATGCAAATTATACACCAGAGCTCCACGTCGGCGATAACGGTGCAAACCGAGGAGGGGACAAGCGTCTAAGGACACAAGCATGGACGACACGAGCAGGGCGGTAGAAACGAGAGCGGCTTCGATTGGAACCCCTTCACCCCCCAGTCAACCGTCACCCAGTGGCAGGGGTCACTCCTTCTCCTCTGCAGGCCGCCACAGTCTGGAAGTCACTCTCAACACCGTCACAGTCAAGCACTCACACTCTCGCACTCTCTCACACTCACTCTCTCTCTCTCACACACTCACACACACACTCTCTCTCACACACTCACACACACATACTCTCTCACACTCACTCTCTCTCTCTCACACACTCACACACACACGCTCTCACACTCTCTCTCACACACTCACACACACATACTCTCTCACACTCACTCTCTCTCTCTCACACACTCACACACACACTCTCTCGCACTCTCTCTCACACACACACATACTCTCTCGCACTCTCTCTCACACACTCACACACACATACTCTCTCGCACTCTCTCTCACACACACACTCACACACACATACTCTCTCGCACTCTCTCTCACACACACACACACATACTCTCTCGCACTCTCTCTCACACACTCACACACACATACTCTCTCGCACTCTCTCTCACACACACACTCACACACATACTCTCTCGCACTCTCTCTCACACACACACTCACACACATACTCTCTCGCACTCTCTCTCACACACACACTCACACACACATACTCTCTCGCACTCTCTCTCACACTCTCACACACTCACACACACATACTCTCTCGCACTCTCTCTCACACTCTCACACACTCACACACACATACTCTCTCGCACTCTCTCACACTCTCACATTTTCTCTCACACACATACTCTCTCTCACACGCTCTCTCTCACTCTCACACACTCTCACACATACACACTATCTCTCTCACTCACACACACACACTTTCTCTCACACACACACTCTTTCTCTCACTCTCTCACACACACACACTCTCTCGCTCTCTCACACACTCACACTCTCTCTCACACTCACACACACTCTCTCTCTCTGTCAAACTCTCACACACTCTCACACACAAACTCTCTCTCTCACACTCTCACACACACAAACTCTCTCTCACACACACTATCTCACACACAAGTCTCCAGCTGCAGCGCCGCCGCCGATGTCGCCATCGGCGCCACCGCCGCCTCCTCCTCCGCCCCCTTGCCAGGCTTGCGCCGCAGCTGCAGCGTGGCCGGCGCCCTCTCGCCCCGCTCTTCCTGCGCACGGCCGCCTCCCTCCCCTCCTCCCGTGTCGTCTTGGGCCCTCCCGTCCTTCCCCTCATCCTTCCCCCCCTCCTTCCCCCCCTCCTCCTCCTCGTCGTCGTCCGGGTAGATGAGGATGAAGGTGGCGGCGAGGAAGGCGAGGAAGGCGGCGGCGGAGGCGACGACGGGCACGGAGCGCACCGTGTCGAACGCGTCGATCACCACGCTGATGCCGGCCGCCACCAGGATCTGGGAGATGTACACCTGGCACGACAGGATGGCGCAGTCGATGCCCAGCCCGCGCCGCGTGCCGCCGGGGCTGTGCCGTACATACTGGGGGGGGGCGAACGGGCGGAGAGGTACGCGGAGGTAAATATATAGGGAGAAAGAGGGAGAGAAAGAAACGCGTGCCAGGTCAGTGTGAATGGGAATCGAACTCGGGTCACCGCAGTGTGCTAACCACTGCGTCACACACACACACAAAGACACACGCACGCACAATGCACAGAGACACAACGACACACGCGCGTGTTGTTGCGTCTCATTGGGGGATCGAGGCATCATGTAGGAGTTAGACCGCAGCGTTGTTGTTGTTGTTGGTGTTGTTGTTGTTGCGGTGCTGTTGTTGTTGTGACGCTATTGCAGGGGGTGCGAGGGTGGGTGTTGCACGCACCTCGTCGTCCTCGTGGTAGAAGCCCAGCATGGCGTAGGGGCAGTAGGAGAGCACCACGTAGAGCAGCCCCATGGTGCCGATCATCGTCATGGACACGGCCAGGTTGGGCACTGCGGCCATCACGGCCATGCCGAGCGAGAAGCCCAGCGTGCCGACGCTGTACAGCAGCTTGAGGCTCACGTCCCGGTGCACCGTGTAGCGCTGCAGCAGGCCTGCACGCACGCACGAGCGCACGGGTCACTCTCACAGACGGTAACCATGGAGACGGTACAGGAGGATACGGTGACCGTGGAGATGGTGGCCATGGAGACTGTAACGGAGGATACGGTCGCTCATTCCTCGGCCCTTGCACTGGGACCCCCCCCCCCCCCCCCCGCCATCTAATCCACTCTTATATTTGTTTCCGCTTTTTAAGTTCCGTGAGAGAAAGAGAGAGCGCCTTGGAGCTCAGGCGCTTCTCTCTGTATGTAAATATAATCTGAGATAAGACGCGGCAACACACGCCAGGGGCGGCCGCCGGAAGTGGAGTCGCCGAGAGAGAAATAGAGACAGAGTGACCGCGCGGGAGCGGGAGGGCGGCCTCACCGGAGAGCAGGGCGGCCGTGGCGGCGTAGATGACGAGGCCCCAGCAGCCGTACTGCACCCCCTTGTTGTAGTTCTCCAGCTCCGTCGAGTTGTGGGGGGCCTGCACCGACAAAAATCCCCCACCCCCCACCCGCCGCGTAGCATTAACAGACTGTTGGGGTGCCACGGTGGCGAGGAGATGTTCGCTACCTCGCCTGGTGTGCAGGAGGTTATGGGTTCGATCCCCACCCTGACTCCTGCTGTATATTTGGAGTTTGTGTGTTCTCCCTGTGGTCGTGTGGATTTTTCTCCGGGTCCTCTGGTTTTTCTCCCCAGATTTAGAATCAGCATCACGCGTTTAGAGTATCTGGGTGCTATACATTTTAACACGATGAGCCACTTCGTCTGGGCTATCATTTATGGGCAAGTCACTTCTGAAAGAGAGCTATAAAGCTGAGTGGGCCTCACATGGTAAAATATAAATAATTTAGTTTCGCTGTTAGTTTGGGGAAAGCGCTGTTTCGGAGTAGCGCCTATGAAGGCCGCCACTGTGGCCCAAGAGGGCGGAGGGCTTCGTGGCCAGCGCCAGGGCCCTCTGCGTCAACAGTGGCGATGTTTACACGCCACGCCGGCGGAGGCCTAGGACTGGTTCAGGTGAGAAGAGACCAGGACAAGAGTCTCATCTGCCAGTGACCTCGGGGTAAACCACAATTATGTGTTGAGCTTTCCTAAACTTTGCACTCCTATCGTGATTTTGCATTGTTTGTTGATGTAACGTTCTGAACAAGAGCTTTATAGCTCATCGGATTCCTCCTGCAGTATAAATATTCCGATTCGGACAACGTGCAACACAAACACAGCACAGCAATCAAGCAAATAGAAATCGAAAAACTGCATCACGTGATATATCGAAAACATCCGACAGAGGCACATCAAAGATAAGCATTACGTTCCTTGCCACGCGTACCGTGCGCGTGTGCGTCGCCATGCGTGCGTGGCACCTGGGCCTGCCCCATGACCTCCTGCCAGCGGGCGTTCGACACTTCACGTGGCCTCAAGGTGCACATGGCCTGGCACAAGCGTCGTGGTGACGTCACCGCCACTTAGTGGCGAACGGCGGTTGTTGTTGTTGTGCGTGCATTGCCACACGTACCGTAGGCTCGCCTTGGAAGACCACCTGGCCCATGAAGTCGGTGTAGAAGACGGACATGGCGATGATGGACACCCAGGTGATGAGGTGGCACAGGCAGAGACGCAGGAGCTGCCGCGGCATCTTGAACATGGAGAGCCACAGCAGCCGCACGGACATCTCCATCTCCACCTCGTCGCTCGACTCGCTGCCCTCGCTCTCCTCCGTCGCGCTGCTTGCGTGCCGCAGCCTGGGACAGCGGTCACGGGGGGAGGTCGGGGGGGGGATCAGCGGTCAGGTGACGACCGGGGGTCAGGTGACGACCGGGGGTCAGGTGAGGATCGGTGGTCAGGTGACGATCGAGGGGTCAGGTGACGAACGGGGGTCAGGTGACGAACGGGGGTCAGGTGACGATGGGGGGGTCAGGTGACGATGAGGGGTCAGGTGACGATGGGGGTCAGGTTACGATCGGGGGTCAGGTGACGACCGGGGGTCAGGTGACGATGTGTGCCTTGCCGGCCTTCATTGGTGCTCGCTAACAGCGAGAGGTTACATGGGGGATTTTTGCCTTTGTGCTTGCAATGGGGATCAAGAGGACACTGGGATCATCTGCACTCGTTAACCATTACGAGTTTGGACCCCAGGGTCAAACCAGCGGAGGGGAAACATTTTAATTAGGGCTGGAAATGTGGGAGATAATTGGGAATGCGTTTTTCACTTGGCTGGGTGGTGTGCGTGTTCACGGCGCGTGTTCACGGCGCGTGTTCACGGCGCTTGTGCAGTCACCTCGTGCGCTGCTGCATCCTCATGCGCTGGCGCCGCTGCAGCTCGTAGAGGTCGTTGAGGCTGCGCGACGCCTTGATGAGCAGGAAGGCGTTGGCGCGCCGGTGCCGGTAGCGGTGCGACCCCAGCCGCCCCGAGTAGGCGTAGAAGTCGTACGTCGCCTGCCGCTGGTAGAACTGCTGGTGCCGCCGGCGCATGGACGCCGAGCGGGGCCTCAGCCCCACGCCGTGCTGCTGCTGCTGGAGCCTTCCCTTCGCCTTGATCCCGTTGGCCAGGCGGCGGCCGTCCCCCGCTCCTCCTCCTCCATCCGCCGCGACCCCCGGGAGCTCGCCGCCGGCGCCCGCCTCGTCCAGCGGCGGCAGCAGGAACGGCGCGTCGCTCCCCCCCCGGTCTCTCGCGGCGCCGGACAGGCTGTCGGCGCTGCGGGCGGCCTCGGCCGCGGCGTGCGTCGGCGTCATGAAGGGGCCGTCGAACTCGGAGGGCTCCATGCAGCCGAGGTAGAGCAGCTCGGAGCCCACGTCGCCCATGTGCAGCACCGAGTCGCTCTGCGATCGCAGCAGCTCGGCCTCGTGGACGTCGTCGTCGTCGTCGCGGCCCATGTACACCTCGTGGTTCGAGTGCACCTCGTCGGCGAACAGGCACGACAGCGCCTGTGAGCGCCCACCGTCGCCCGCCTCGTCGTCCAGGTCACGGTCGTCGAGGCCGCGCTCCGGGTCGCGCGACGACGACGACGCCGCCGCGTCGTCGGCGGCGGCGGCGACGGCCGCCCCCTCCCCCTCTTCGAGATTCGGCCGCGGCAAGGAGTTGGCGCGGGCCGAGTTGATGGCGCGCGACGAGCCCTCGTCGCCGACGGGCCCCGTGTACACCTCCTCGGGGATGCTGAAGAGGTGCAGCAGCAGCGAGGCGGTGAACACGAGCGACGTGAAGAAGAAGAGCACCTGCTGCTGCGAGCGGAAGGCAAGGCCCAGCGGCGTGTGCGTCCAGTCGATGCCACCCATCATGTAGCCCAGCGCGCCGCCCAGGCCTGTGGCGGGGCACATGCGCGGGGTCACCGTGGGGCCGGCTATCTCTCCCTGCGAGCCCGTGGCTCTCCCTGTGGCTGATGGCATGTCATTTTTTTTATTACGCGATAGGCGAATTATCATCCGCTCATCAATAAAGTTTGGATTCAATAATGGCGGGTGGTGGGAGGGATGTTTGTCTCTGTGCCGTCGTCTCTGTGCCGTCGGATCTGTGCGTGCGCATACTGCCGGCGAGCGAGTGGATGCTGAGCGCGCGGTCCTGCTCCTCCGTGTCGGCGTTGTCCAGGAGGTACGCGTGCACCGGGCCGTCCGCCGCGTCCGCACAGAAGTCCAGGAGCACCACCCCGAGCACCGTCACCACGATCCCCACGAGCTGCTCGCCAGGCACATCGCCCACTGCCAGCCCTGCAACAGGCGTCACCGTGGCGGCGAGTCAGAAGCAAATCATCACCACCAGGGGGTGGTGTGTGTGGTGGTGTGTGTGTGTGCACGTGCGGGGAGCGGCAGTGTAGCGGTTGGCGTTACGCTGCGCTACGAACCCGGCGACCCCAATTCAATTCCCGCTCACGGCCACCAGCACCAGCGATAATTATCTTAACTGGTCCTGGGCCTCACCTAGGTCGACTCAGTCTCAAGTGAGTGCCTGGTACGGTGTGTAAATATCGCCACGAGGGACACAAAGGTGGCTATACGGGGGATCTTTGTCTGTGTGTGTGCAGTCCAGTGCCCGCGCGTGGAGGGCGGTGCGCGTGTGTGCGTGCGTAAAGCGTGGTGTGCGCGTGTGTGCAGGGCATGTGTGTGTGCAGGGCATGTGTGTGTGCAGGGCAGCGTGTGTGTGTGCGGGGCTGTGCATGTGCGCACGTGCAGGGCGGCGTGTGTGTGTGCGGAGCGTTGCCCGCGTGTGTGTGTGTGCACGGAGCGTTGCCCGCGTGTGTGTGTAGGGTGGTGCGCGACGGGCGGGCACCGATGTTGGCGCCGTTGAGGAAGAGCATGATGCCGATGAGCGTGCCGATGCTGAGCACGAGGATGAACGGGCGGCGCCGGCCCCAGCGCAGGGTGCAGCGGTCGCTCGCCGAGCCGATGAGCGGCGTGAAGATGAGACCCAGCACGGGGCTGAGGAACCACGTGAGCGAGTAGTACTGCTCAGGCAGGCCTGCTCCAAACACACACACACCAAAAGACAACGATCCCCCGTTTAGCCTTGAACAGATTGTTGGGGCAGGTGCTGTTAGCGAGTAGCATCTGTGAAGGCCGGCACAGCGCACGAAGGGGGTGGGTGGCCAGCACCACGCCCGACCGCCTTTGTCTCCCCAGTGCTGATGTTTACACACCGTGACCTCGGGGAGGCCCAGGTCCGGTGCAGATATTCACCACTGATGAAGGCCGTGAGTGGGAATTGAGTCTCAGACCACCAGGTGAACAGAGCAGCACACCAACCACGACACTACTGTTTCCAACCATAACGTTGCGCCAGTCTCGCACCTTGAGGCCACGTGAGGGCCCACTCACCATCATGAAGGTCCTTAATGATCGTGAGCAGCGGGTCAGGGACTCCGAAAGCATGAAGAACAACCCAGAGCCCAGACCTACTGATGGTATCATAGGCCTTGACCAGGTCAATAAAGCAGTGATGTAGGTCTTGTTGGAATTCCCTACACCTCTGGTGTAGCAAATGGACAGAAAATATGGCATCTGTGCAGGACCGCCCTTTCCTGAAACCACAATAGGGCTCCGCAAGCCTCTCCTCAGCGTGGCTGGCAAGGCCATGTTGAATAATCCTTGCCAGGACCTTTCCCGGCACACTGAGGAGTGAGATGCCCCTGTAGTTGTTACAGTCTGTGCGGTCCCCCTTCTTAAAGAGGGGGACCACCAGCGCATCCTCCAATCCTGCGGAACCCATCCAGCGGTCCAGACTGTTGTTATGATGTCATGTAGGGCAGTCTGTGCACAAACGCCACCCTCCCTCAGCATTTTGCTTGGGAGATCATCTCTGCCTGGTGCCTTTCCTGGTCTCAGGCTCTGGATCGCTTTCAACAGATGGCACCTCAGTCAACCACTCACAGCGGGTGACTTCTTCCAATATTTGAGGCACCGCAGCCTCAACATGGTCATCTCATCCCCACATTGTCCCACGTTGTTTTCCTGGTTGAGGAATTTTCTCCTCCCCCAGAACCTCACAGAAATGCTCAGCAAATCTGCAAACCTGTTCCTGGGGGTCGGAGATTGGATCACCGTTGTTTCCCCTAATGATGGTAATAGGTGTGGCGCTGCAGGTTACTTTTTGATGGAATTAAAGAGCGATTTGTGATCGCGGGCCATTGATGCAGACTCCATTTCCTCATCAACCCGTGACCACCAATCATCCTTGCAGAGCCACACGGCTCTCCGTACCTCCGAGCGAAGGCTCCTCATTCTCTGATGTGGGATGCTGTAGACGATGAGAGTGGGCCTGTCGCTTTTTCTCAGCCAGCCTGAACACCTCCTTTGTCAGCCAGGGTCTCTGAGGAGGTCTGGACCGTGTACCCAAAGCAGCCATTGCAGCTGCATGAACCACAGTCCTAAACCTCGCCCATTTCCCCTCGACATCAGGAGAAGTGGGGGACGACGCCAACCCCAACCGCAAGCTCACACGCACACACATGCAGGTATGTAATGGCAAGGGGTGGTGGCTCAATCTGGTATGTGTTTGTATACATGCCAGTGTGTGTGTGTGCACCAATGTGCCTTTGCCAATGTGTGTGTGTGTGCGTGTTGGCACACACACACACACAGCGTGTAGCCTTAACAAGCTGTTGGGTCAAGTGTTGTTAGCACACGCGCGCACACACACACACACACGCACCGATGGTGAGCAGCACGGGCGTGACGAGCGCAGTGTCCACCGCGTAGCAGAACTCCCGTCCGAAGGTGATGGCGCCGTTCATCACCCACTGGCGCAGGGGCAGCTCCTCCACCGAGCTGTCCCCGTCGCTCTCCGACTCGTCGCCGTCGCCGGCGGGCACGGCGGCCACGCCGCTGCCGCTCTCCTTGCCGGGCCACCGCTCCACTGCTTTCCCCGCCTCGTCCCCACCACCTCCACCACCACCACCACCACCACCTCCACCACCAACTCCTCCACCTCCTCCACCACCACCACCACCACCACCTCCTCCTCCTCTTCCCAACAACGCCGTCGTCGCGTCTCCTTCAGACGGCGAGCGGGCGGCGCCGTCCTGCACGCGACCGTTGCCTCTGGCTTCATCGCCGCCGCCGCCGCCGTGGTTGTTGTTGTTGTTGCGGCTGTTGCGGTTGACGCTCGCGGGCGGCTCCAGGTCCCGCCGATGCTTGCGGTTGGACGCCCCGTCCAGGAGGGCTTCTTCCATCTTGTCGCCCCCCCCCCTCTGGCCCCCCTTCCACCAAACTCCGCTTTCCTCGCGCTTCCTTCCAAGCAAACCCGGCGGATACTTCGGCCGCTCGCCCTAGCGACGTAAGATTCTCGCTCTCGGCGAACGAGCGTTTTAAAAAGAATGCTAAGCTTGGCTTGGTGTGGAAGCTTAAAGGCTTAACTCGAATTAAAATTGCTTCTCTTAGTGTTTATTAAAAATCCATATACATAACCATTCAGTCAATTCCAGTATGAGGATCTTGTTGGAGGCGATGTCGGGCTGGTTGCTGAACTTGGCGCAGGAAGGCACGGGGAGCGGCACAAGCGTGACTCGCCCCATCGAGGGAGCCTGGCTTCTGCAGGCCCGGCATGCGGCGCCACACGCAGCATCGCACACGCGGAGAAACACACGCACAGCGTCACGCACACACAGAGACACGTGCGGAGACACAGGCACAGCGTCATACACGTGGAGACACGCACACAGCGTCACGCACACAGAGACACGCGCACAGCGTCACACGTGCGGAGACACAGGCACAGTGTCACACACGTGGAGACACGCACATAGCGTCACACACGCGTAGACATGCACACAGCGTCACACGTGCGGAGACACGTGCGGAGACACAGGCACAGTGTCACACACGTGGAGACACGCACACAGCGTCACGCACGCAGAGACACGCGCACAGCGTCACACACGCAGAGACACGCGCGCAGAGACACGCGCACACAGAGACACGTGCGGAGACACGCAGACACCCGCAGAGACACGAGCATAGACACGTGCACAGCGTCGCACACACAGACGCGCAGAGACACGCGCACCACCTCACGCGCAGAGAGACGCGCAGAGAGACACGCAGAGAGACACGCGCAGAGACACACGCACAGCGTCACACACACAGAGAGACACGCGCGCACAGCGTCACACGCATACAGAAACATGCATAGTGTCACGCACACACAGATACGTGTAGCATCGCACACGCCGAGACACGCTGGCACAGCGTCAAACACACGCAACAAGACAAAGCATCACAGAGGTGCGATGAGAGCAACACACTGAGAGACACCCGGCATCATCATCGCACACAGGCGTCACGCACGGCTCACGGATCAAGGAGCGCGGCGCACAGCCGGAAACGCCATCTCTCACGGGTGACGGGAAGACACACAAACACAGACTGCCTCCCGAGAGACCCCGAGAGCCTCGCTGTACACACGTCGTTACACAACACTCGCGGGGAGCCACAGGCAGACTTGGCACGCGCACGGCCTCACCTACACGTACACACACGTAGCCTCATACTTGCACAAAGGCAAATATCCCCTTACAATGCTCACCAATGAGCCCACCCATATGTCTCCAATGAGCTCAACCATCAACATTTAAGGCCGAGTCGACCTAGGAGAGCATCAGGAAGCAGCTATGAGATCCCTCACCGCTGACATTAGCCACGGCAGGGAATTGAACTCGGGTGCGCCGGCGTTTAAGCGCAGTTTGTTAAGCAAAGTGCTACCGCTCCCCATAACACATGCATCCACAAACACACACGCACACCTCGCACACTACCCACACCTAAAAAAATACAAAGATCCCCCATACAGCCTTAACAGACTGTTGGGGCAAGTGCTGTTAGAGAGCACCTATGAAAGGTGGCACGGCACAAGAGGGGGTGGGCGGCCAGCACTACGCCCGGCCGCTTGTCTCCCTAGCGGCGATCTTTACACACCGCACCAGGTACTCATTTGAGGCCGAGTCGACCTAGGGGAGGCCCAAAACCGGTTCAGATATTCGACACTGGTATTTGTCGTGAGCGGAAATCGAACTCTGGTCGCTGGATTTGTAGCACAGTGCGCCAACCACTGTGCCACCGCTCCCCACACACACTCACACACACACATACCCACCAACACACCCACACACCAACACACACACCCACCCACCAACACACCCACACACCTACACCCATACAGTTGTACTCACTGGGGTGCCTTGCACCATCACCTGGACCCTGCTAAGGGAAAACGGCAGCTTTAATGCGATGGGATAGATAGCCGGGGACTGTGCGTACACATGTATCTGCTCTAGAGCAAGCATTCTGGCGTGGCGGTCATGAGCAGCAGACTTTGGAAGCAATAAAACGCCAAGTGCTGGTCCGTGTGTGAACATGTTTACGTAAGTGTACATGTACGTGCGTGTGTGCGTGCGTGCGTGCGTGTGTGCGTGCGTGCGTGCGTGTGTGCGTGTGTGCGTGTGTGCGTGCGTGCGTGCGTGCGTGCGTGTGTGCGTGTGTGTGTGCGTGTGTGCGTGCGTGCGTGCGTGTGTGCGTGTGTGCGTGTGTGCGTGCGTGTGTGCGTGCGTGCGTGTGTGCGTGCGTGCGTGCGTGCGTGTGTGCGTGTGTGTGTGCGTGTGTGCGTGTGTGCGTGCGTGTTCGTGCAGCGGTTACAACGCTGTGCTATGAATCCGGCGACCCGATTTAGATTCCTGCTCACGGCCAACACCAGTGATGGTTATCTGAACGGGTCCAAGGTCTCCCCTAGGTCGATTCAGCCTCAAATGAGCACCCGGTGCAGTGTGCAAACATCTCTTCTAGTGAGACAAATGTGGCCGGGCGTGGTGCTGGCTAACAACACTTGCCTCAGCAGCCTCTTCAAGCTACAAGGGGGATCTGTCTTTGTGTGTGTGCATGCCTCTAGGAGCAGCGATGTGGGAAGAGGCATTCATGCGTGAAGCTAACAAACATGGACGCTTGCCAATACAAAAAATATAGATTTACATCCACCACTCACTCCGTGGCCTCTTTAGGCCAACAATATTTATTTATTTACTATCCTTGTTTACCGAGGAAAGCCTCGCCGAGTCTCAAGACTCTTTTTCAACAGAGTCCTGCCAGGATTTCAAAGCGGCAGGGGGGGGAGGTGATATTGGTGTTGCTGCTGCTGCCGCTGCTGTGTGTAGTATCAATTTATTAATTTTTCAGCATTGTGATATTTGCCCAGAAACAGTTCGTGGTGTTTTGTTTGTTGTTTAGCCATGATTTCCAGCAGCATTTGGTACAGCAGGGTGGAACGGTGGCACGCAGGTTAGCGCACTGCGCCATGAACCCCGAGTCCCGAGTTCGATTCCTGGCCACGTCGAACGCCAATGGCACCGAGTGATATCTGAACCGGGACTGGCGCCTCTCCTCCTCCCCCCCCCCTTCCACAAACTTAAACTAACGCTAAACTATTTTTTATTCTACCAGGTAAGGCCCACTGAGCTATGAAGCTATATTTCAGAACCGACCGACCTGGCCACAAATGATAGCTCAACGAAGTGGCTTATCACGTGGACATTTATAGCAGCTCAATTCTCTAACAGCATGTTTCTAAACTTGCATTGACCAGCGTGGTAAGGTATGGTCAAACAACCCCCTCCACTGCATGGAGATTTCTTTCACCAGCAGCGGCCAGCCACCCTGGTTAAGGCCGCAGGTGTAATGACCACAAAAGTAGCTCGTGCAGTCCGCTTCAAAGTGGCCGTTAAAGATCCGTGAGGGTCGCCCCATCGTGTGCCAGCGTCACGGTGCGATTTAGCCAAATAAAAAAAATTACTCACAAATTGCCTTACTTGGAATCTGCACAACGATCGTCACCCCCTCCCTCCTACTCTGACAAACTTTGCCAGGGCCCTTCTGAAAAAGCTTCACGAGATTCAAACAAGCATCATGTTGATGAACAAAAAATATTATAATACGCGAGGCACATGGATAACTGTTTCAACCAGTTGTCTTTCCCGCAGTTACCCAAGTGGCGATGTGTACACACCACAAGATATACAGTGCATGCATTTTAACTGCCATGCGATTATCCCTGCCGCTGAGATACATGCTTATTGGGTGCAGAGTTACTGCACATTCTGTTGCACAACCCAGCGGAACATTCCAGAGCTGCTCACCACACACTTACATAACAAAGCCATCGCCCAGGTCTCAAACCCTAAAAAACACACACAAACACCACCTTCCGCTGGCATTGGACACGATCCCAAAACAGCGGGCCCCAGGCAGGCCTCCTCCCTTCCCCAAACCTGAACCACACAAAAAAAATGATTCACAAGGAAGTGACCGTGTGGACTCGGGTGTTAAAGCGCCGCTGACAAGCCAGGTTTTTTGAGGCCAGGCCCTCGACCGCCCGTGATTTAAATGGTGCGCTCAAGTGTGGCGGTGCTTTTTTGATGGTCAGCGCAGCCGACAGCGAGTTACATTATTTAGTATCGATGGGACCATTTTTTTGCCCGGTATCAAAATGATGAAAAAATAATAGGCTTTAGCCTTTCCGGCAAAAATACAGGTGGCGTTAAGATGTTTAAACACCAAAGAGACGCCTATCGCCTTTTAATGGTGTTCTCTGGTCATACACAACCATAAAGGAGGCTGCCGTCTCTGGTGCAGGCCAAATCAGTATCAAAGACAATGCACGCAGTATTATCAAAGCATGTTTTTGTTTGCTTGTTTTACCACAAGCGTGTGTGGTTAATGCAGATTTGATGCACTTACAATAGGTGTCTCTTTGATTTTTGAACATCTTAAGAGATGTTTTATTGCCAGAAAGGGTAAAGCCTATTCTACATTATTTCGTGTTATTATTGGTATTATTAATACTAAGCTATTTAACTCCAGGAAGCCTCACTGAGTCTCAAGACTCGTTTTCAAGAGGGTCGTGCCATATGTTTGCAGTAGGGGGCGATGTTGCTGTTGAGATCCAAAAGTCTTAGTATCGGGATGCTTGGTTCGTACCTGTTGCAGTGTGCGTACTTTTTGTTCGCGATGGCAAAAAACTGGAGAATTCGGGAGAAAAGGGTGAGAACAAAAAACAACTCCACACACTCACTCCATCATACTGACAAGACAAAGATTCCCCGTATAGCCTAGAGCAGACTGTTGGGGCAAGTGCTGTTCGTGATCACCTAAGAAGGCTGGCACGGTACACGAGGGGGTGGGTGGTCAGCACGACACCTGCCCGCCCCTCGTCTCCCTTGTGGCAATGTTTACACATTGCACGAGGTACTTATTTGAGGCCGAGTCAGCCTTGGGGAGGCCCACGAACGGGTCAGATGATCGTCACTGGTGTTGGCCGTGAGCGGTAATCGAACTCGGGTCGCCGGGTTCATAGCGCAGCACGCTAACCGCTGCACCACCGCTCCCCTTATCCCACACTGGCTCTCACTCACACATACACACTCTACACAGAGAAGCCATGACTACAAAGAAAGCCACACTTTGTTGACACTGATCTGTGTGTGTGTGGTTAAACCGGGTTCTCAAGTGCAGTGAGTTCATGATCAACCCAGGTCACCAGTGAATTACACAGAGACCCGTGGGGTCACACAGATACCCGTGGGCTCACACAGAGACTAACACAGAGACCCATAGACCCACACAGAGACCCATAGACTCACACAGAGACCCATAGACAGAGACTAACACAGAGACCCATAGACTCACACAGAGCCCCGGAGACTCACACAGCGACCCGTAGACTCACATAGAGACCCGTAGACTCACAGAGACCTGAATACAGTAATGATTTAGACTGGGCTGTAATTAAACCGGGTTTTCAAGTATAGCGAGTTGATGGTGCTAGCCCAGTCACAAATGATTGCACGCAAAAAAAACACCATCAACTTAGATTCGGCGTTTTACTTCCTGTGGCTCAATTCTGGCTTTCCAGTTCTGAGAATGAAAACAGTTTTCAGTTTGACTGTCATGCTTCGAACATCTCAAGGAGCAGATAACAGGCGATGCAGCCTCGCTACGAGCGGCGAATAAGCCGCATTGCCCGAAACGTCGCCTATTACAGTCATATACCTTTTCTTTTTAAGGTCCCAAGCAGTGTTGCTATTGGCGAGGGTGTCTAGGTGTAGTTAATTGTCCTTAGCGTACCACTGCCAAAGCTGTTAATAACGTATTAATAACCTACTACAGTGATACTACACTTGTGTATGCAGGAAAGCCTCGCCGAGTCACAGGAGGACCGTGACACATTTTGATGATGATGATGCTCCCATGTGTCATTCCGATTGAGTCATCTGCAGGTAATTATATTTCAGCAACGGCGTGTTTGGCTAATGCCAGTTAAATTATGTGTTTTTGTAATGGAGCTGAGAGGAAGCGTGGAAAGAGGGGGAAGCTGGGAGTTAGGGTAGGATTTTTTGAGTGAGGACATGGTGAGTGGGAGTGGGGAATTAAGAGCTGGGACCTGGGATTGCAATCTGAGAGTGGAGAATTCGGATGGGGCAGCTGTGAGGGGAGAGTGGGAATCTGGGATTGGGGGAGATTAAACTCTTTACCCGTGGCACGCCCCGGGGAAGGGAAGTCCGTGAAATTTGGAGGAGAGAAGAGAAAGATTGGGAATTCTGAGAAGGATGGAAAGAAAACTGAGAAGCAGCAGCAACGGGCCAGGAGAGATCAGGGGACGACACATCAGTGCTGCTGTACGACGCAGCGTCTGTTTTCCCAGGGGGCGGCGGGCAGAGGGGAGGGGTCCTAAGTGGGGGCGGGACACAGACGTCACGTGATTTAGATGCGTGGATGCGAGGGGTGAATGTGGGAGCTGAAGCTAAACAAATGGAAATTTCTTCACCCAGGAAAACCTTACCGTCTCAAGGTGTTTTGATCAGGAGGGCCCTGCAGCTCCAGTGGAATGTCTGACCACTTCCACGTTTGCCGAGCTTCACGTGAGAAGTACAATCGGAGAACCCAGAAAACACCCCTACCATGTACACTGGAGGAAAACACTCAACCCTGCATCCACATTCATATTCATAAATGCACTTATGCTCACCCTCTCTTGGCCACCTTTCATCCCAAGCCTACAACACCCGGTATTCCCAGACAACCTCTCCTCCACGTACTAACCAGGCTTAGCCCTGCTTAGCTTCCGAGATCTGATGAGACCAGGCACCTCTCCGACTGATCCCGGGACAACTCCACAGAGCTGCTGCCCAACAGCGCCTATGGCTGGCAAGCCCGACGGTACAGGTGACTGGCCCTGAACAGGGAAACTTGATTGAGCTGAACAGACACGACTAGGCACATGGTGGCGAGCTGCTGGGGACAGCAAGGACCTCCATGTTCACCAATGGGCTCACCCATACACACCAAGACTCGCCCATACACACCAATGGGCTAGCCCATACACACCAATGGGCTCGCCCATACACACCAATGGGCTCGCCCATACACACCAATGGGCTCGCCCATACACACCAATGGGCTCGCCCATACACACCAATGGGCTCGCCCATACACACCAATGGGCTCGCCCATACACACCAAGACTCGCCCATACACACCAAGACTCACCCATACACACCAATGGACTCACCCATACACACCAAGACTCACCCATACACACCAATAGACTCACCCATACACACCAATGGGCTCACCCATACACACCAATGGGCTCACCCATACACACCAATGGGCTCACCCATACACACCAAGACTCACCAATGGGCTCACCCATACACACCAATGGGCTCACCCACTCACCAATGGTCTCACCCATACACACCAAGACTCACCCATACACACCAAGACTCATCAATGGGCTCACCCATACACGCCAATGGGCTCACCCATACATCCCAATAGGCTCACCCATACACACCAATGGGCTCACCCATACACACCAAGACTCACCCATACACACCAGTACGTTGTTTATAGCGTAAACTGTAGGCAGCGTATACTGTACACAGTGTGTACTGTACCCCGTATATACTGTACTCAGTGTGTACTGTATCCCGTATATACTGTACTCAGTGTGTACTGTATGACATGTATACTGTACTCAGCATATACTGTACCCCGTCTGTACTGTACCCGTATACTGTACGCGATGAACACGACTGTAGTGTGCACTGCACTGTACACTATATTATACTGTACACCGTACCTTGTCTACCATATATTAACTGAATACTATAGTTGTTTATATATATTGAGTGTATACTGTCGTGTGTACGATATATACTGTGTATACAGCAACGCAGTATATTGTATAGGGTGTATGACGCAGTAAACGCAATGTATAACACACAGTGTGCGCCATGTGTAGTGGATGTTGTATCATACCCAACACTGCATGCCGTGTACACGGCGTGTGTACTCTCTGTGGCGTACACACGATGTGTGTGCGTGTGTGCTGCACGTGTAGTGTGAGTATTGTGAGCGGTGGTTGTACAGCGTTGTGTGTAGTCAATGTAACGCGATTACTGCACACAAACTGTGCACACTGCGTCGTGAATATACTGCGTGTGTGTGGTGTGTATGTGTGTGTGGTGTGTGTGTGTGGTGTGTGTGTGGTGTGTGTGTGTGGTGTGTGTGTGGGTTCCCATGTACACACGTGACACACCGCACGTGTAGTGTGTCTGTGTACACGTGTACACGAGCAGTGTGTCCCGTGCAGTGTGCCCGTGTACACGTGTAGTCGTACACGTGCAGTGTGTCTGTGTACACGTGCAGTGTGTACACGTGAGCGTCTGTGTACGTGTGTTTGTGTACACGTGCAGTGTGTCTGTGTACACGTGCAGTGTGTACACGTGAGGGTTTGTGTACGTGTGTTTGTGTACACGTGCAGTGTGTACACGTGAGGGTCTGTGTACACGTGACCCGTGTGTACATGTGTCTGTGTGTACACGTGTGTGTACGTGTGTAAGTGTACACGTGTGTGTACGTGTACACGTGTGTGTACGTGTGAGTGTGGCACTCACCGCATGCGGCCTCCCGTGTCCTCTGGTCGCCTGGCTCTGGGCAGCGAGTCGAGGGGGGCCCCGCTCCGGGTCTCTTACGGGGTGGGGGGGGGGAGGGCCCTGAGACAACGGGGGGTGGGGGGAGCTACGGGGGGCGGGGCTTGTGGTGGGGGGGGGGCGGGGCTGGTGGGGAGGGCTTGTGGGGGGGGGCGGGGCCGGAAACAACGTCACGGGGCCCGCCCTGACGGCTCCGCACAACAACAGCAGCAGCGGGGGCGGGGGGGCTCCTCGGCATCCCCCCCGTTACACGGGATACATAGACCCATAGACTCACAGAGACCCATAGACTCACAGAGACCCATAGACTCACACAGAGACCCATAGACTCACAGAGAGACCCATAGACCCACACAGAGACCCATAGACTCACACAGAGACCCATAGACTCACAGAGACCCATAGACTCACACAGAGACCCATAGACTCACAGAGAGACCCATAGACTCACAGAGACCCATAGACTCACACAGAGACCCATAGACTCACAGAGAGACCCATAGACCCACACAGAGACCCATAGACTCACACAGAGACCCATAGACTCACAGAGAGACCCATAGACCCACACAGAGACCCATAAACTCACAGAGAGACCCATAGACTCACACAGAGACCCATAGACTCACAGAGACCATAGACTCACACAGAGACCCATAGACTCACAGAGACCCATAGACTCACAGAGACCCATAGACTCACACAGAGACCCATAGACTCACAGAGAGACCCATAGACCCACACAGAGACCCATAGACTCACACAGAGACCCATAGACTCACAGAGAGACCCATAGACCCACACAGAGACCCATAGACTCACACAGAGACCCATAGACTCACACAGAGACCCATAGACTCACAGAGACCCATAGACTCACACAGAGACCCATAGACTCACAGAGACCCATAGACTCACACAGAGACCCATAGACTCACAGAGAGACCCATAGACCCACACAGAGACCCATAGACTCACACAGAGATCCATAGACTCACAGAGAGACCCATAGACTCACAGAGAGACCCATAGACTCACACAGAGACCCATAGACTCACAGAGACCCATAGACTCACACAGAGACCCATAGACTCACAGAGAGACCCATAGACCCACACAGAGACCCATAGACTCACACAGAGACCCATAGACTCACAGAGAGACCCATAGACTCACAGAGAGACCCATGGACTCACACAGAGACCCATAGACTCACACAGAGACCCATAGACTCACACAGAGACCCATAGACTCACAGAGAGACCCATAGACCCACACAGAGACCCATAGACTCACACAGAGACCCATAGACTCACAGAGAGACCCATGGACTCAGACAGAGACCCATAGACTCACACAGAGACCCATAGACTCACACAGAGACCCATAGACTCACAGAGAGACCCATAGACCCACACAGAGACCCATAGACTCACACAGAGACCCATAGACTCACAGAGAGACCCATGGACTCACACAGAGACCCATAGACTCACACAGAGACCCATAGACTCATAGAGAGACCCATAGACTCATAGAGAGACCCATAGACTCACACAGAGACCCATAGACTCACACAGAGACCCATAGACTCACACAGAGACCCATAGACTCACACAGAGACCCATAGACTCATAGAGAGACCCATAGACTCACACAGAGACCCATAAACTCACACAGAGACCCATAGACCCACACATAGACCCATAGACTCACACAGAGACCCATAGACTCACAGAGAGACCCATGGACCCACACAGAGACCCATAGACTCACACAGAGACCCATAGACCCACACAGAGAGCCATGGACTCACACAGAGACCCATAGACCCACACAGAGAACCATAGACTCACACAGAGACCCATTGACTCACAGAGAGACCCATAGACCCACACATAGACCCATAGACTAACACAGAGACCCATAGACTCACAGAGAGACCCATAGACTCACACAGAGACGCATAGACTCACACAGAGACGCATAGACTCACACAGAGACCCATAGACTCACACAGAGACCCATAGACTCACACAGAGACCCATAGACTCACACAGAGACGCATAGACTCGCACAGAGACCCATAGACTCACACAGAGACCCATAGACTCACACATAGACCCATAGACACAGAGACTAACACAGAGACCCACAGACTAACACAGAGACTCATAGACCCGCAAATAGACCCATAGACTCACACAGAGACCCATAGACCCACACAAAGACCCATACACTCACACAAATACCCACAGACTCACACCTATACCCATAGACCCACACAGACCCATAGTCTCACACAGATCCACAGACTCACAGAGAGACCCCATAGACCCACACAGAGACCAATAGACTCACACAGAGACCCGGAGACTCACTTAGGCTAAGTTGTAATTAAACTGGGTTCTAAGGTTTAGTGAGTTCACGGTCTCAGTCAGGTTACCAATTACCGCACAACATAATAAAAGAACATCAAATAACAAAATGTGTTTTTGTATGACTGTAATCTTTAGATAAATTCCAACTCTGAGAATTATAAAAAAAAAAAACTGCATCAGCTTGTCACGCGACAAACGCATCGTATTTTATAGCGGAGTATGGGAAAGCATGCCACCTTCTGGAGAGAGAATACAAATGCCACTTAAAGGATTTGTGGGGGGGGGGGGGGAGTTACGTGAGAATCCTCTTGCTCAGATATTACCAGACACGTGGTGATTATTTATCAGTAAACACGGAACGTTGGAGCAACGTTGATCCAACGTTCATCCATAATAACAGCCTTGGTGAATTTAAGAAGCACGGTTAACTCTGATCTGTTATGAATTTGATAGCAGTGCCATGTGTTGCTGACCGCTTTACTCTGTTGGGGGGCCTTTGGGTCTTTTGTTCAGCAAGTGAGAAAACGAAAAAAACAAGGCTCGCTAATCTTAAGGCGATGCGATTATTGTAACCAAGTGATCTTTGAAACCTGCTGAGATAACGTGACCGCAATGAACCACCCAAGGGGTCTGACCTTGCGGGAAAGGGGACAGCTCTGATAGTTCAGGACAAGCAAACTCTGGACCTGTTTCACAATTTAGTGTCCCATCAGAAACCTCACAGAGACCAAGCAACACGACGGAATACTTGGCTCCCCAACACAAACACTCCTCCTCCAACCGCCTTGTCAGCTGCCTTGTCACCCGCCTGTCACCCGCCCGTCACTCGCCCGTCACCCGTCGGGCTGGGAGTAATTCACCCTTTGCCCGGCTTAAGTTTGCCAAGTTCTCTCTTTTCGTCACGAGTTTCAACTCAACGCACACAGAAACATGCGGAAGGTCATTATCATCGTCACCATCAGCGAAGAAGAAGAAGACGAAGAAGAAACACACTGACTCAGCCTCTTGTGCATTGATGCAACGAAACAAATAAAAGCCGCCGGTAGTTCCTGGAGAACTGTACCGCCTGTGATTTCCGTCTGAGGCCATCAAATAAAGAGTTGAGCAGATGTGACGGAGCTCCCTGGCAAGGCAGCAGGCAGTGAGACGCACAGACGTTGCAACGGAGCCCGGGTTAGTCCTCGGCCGAGCTCGTCAGCGCTGCGTAGTCATCCCCATGACTGCTCACTGCTGCAAAGCCTTGACTCTGGGTGACCTTTTACCAACTTCCATGCTATTCTGGAGGTCCCCCGCTATTGTCCCGGCTCACGCCGACAACACGATCCGATGTGTCGATGACGAGACAGCCTCCAATGACTGCGACCAGAATGATGTCCCGCGATCGCACACTCGCGCGGGGTTTAGCGGCCCCCGCGGTGTTTCGGCTGCGCGCGACTTGGTCGTCATTTCAACAGACTCCGTTCCCCGCTCCCCCTTCCTCGCGTTCTATGTACGTTACGTTGAACTTCTTTCGCACCGTACGTAGCCAACCGTGCTCATCGGAGGTGCGGGAGGACAATAAACTAAACACAAAGAAATGCGTTTGTCAACCGAGATGATATAAAAGTGCATAGCTCCAGCGGCTTCTTAATATCGGAAGGGAAGAGCGTTCCAGACGGCCGCAGAAGCGCATCCGATGGCCTCGCCAGACAGCCGCCGCTGCTGCTACTGCTGCCAGGATGAGCGGAGTTGGCGTGACGATGTTTGTTTATAGCTCCTTGACGAGCTCAGCATGGTGGCATTGTCGTTCATTTGTGGCGAGCGCGTCGTGTGAGCCCTGCTCCTCCTGAGACGCATCTCGTGATGTTTGTTCCCTGCTGGGGGTATCCCAACTTCCCTTTCCGCCTTCCTCTTCCCGATGTATTTATTTATGCCCCTCCCGTTAACCCCACTCCACCCCGTGTATTGTTGTTGTTGGTTTAAGTGTATTTGTGTTTGTTCAAAGGTGAGTTTGGCTGCGTGGCTAACCGAGTAGAAGCTTTCGGGAGGTCGTGAGTCCAATTCCTGGTCGAAGGTGGAGTGGGTGGGGTGGGTGGGTGGGGTGGGTGGGGTGGGTGGGTGGGGTGGGGTGGGTGGGGTGGGTGGGCTCAGCCCACCCTCGCTGCCTCCCCCCTGCCGCCCATACAATAGATCCCGCTTTGCGAGAGGTAGATCAACAGTGGTTATGCTATGGTTACACTTTCCCCGCCACACGAACGTGGAGTTTGCACCACTGGCACTGCAGAGCTTGTAAACGGGAGATGATCACCAATGCCTCAATGCTCATTGGAGCAGGGAACTCAAATCCACTTTTAATAATTATCAACATCGACCGTGATGGTTAGTTAGAGAAAAGCAAGAAAATGATTATCTCTTGGTAACAACAAATAAAAATACCCCTCGACAAATTCGTCAATAATAAGACTGTGTGTGGCCTTCAAAGGAAACAACAATATAGAAGATACGACGTTTCGGGGAATGGCCCTTCTTGAAGGCATGTCGTGTCCCAGTGTATTTACGACCGGCGGCTCGCTCGCCACGCGTGTTCCCATAAGCCACAGCAGACAGTATCTAATTTGAATAAACGTTGATTATTTTTTTGGATGGTTAGGTCGCTATGTCCAGGGATGATGTGGCCAATACTCGTGTCGTTAAGAACCCTTCACCACCCGACTTGCCACGCTCGCGACCACATCT